TGTGTCGTCAACCTTGTAACATTCTTGTTATATCATGACTGTATCAGACTTGTTAGAACAACCTTGTAACAAGTCTGATAATGTCATCAAGCTTGTTACAAGTTGTTAACAGCTTGTTCCAAACTTGTTACAACAACTGGGAACAAGCAGCGCGAACACAACTTGTCGACAGCTTCTGAACAGATTTGTAACAACTTGTTTGCAGACCTGTAACAACTTGTGCGTTTTTACGTTGTGGGCAAGTTTCGAACAAGTTGTTGTCAATCTTGTAACAAGGCTGATGAGGCCAACAGACTCGCAACAAGTTGTTCCAACAAGCCTGATATCGTCTGCACGTAACAAGGTGTTAACAAGTTGATGATAACAAGCTCGTAGCAACTTGTTACGAACAGCCTGTATTAGTCTCGCTGGAACAACTTGTAGCAAGTCTGTTACCGTCATCAACCTTGTAACAAGTTGATAACAACTTGTTCCAGACTTGTCGCAACAACTGGGAACAAGCAGTGAGAACACATCCTGATATCGGCTTGACACTGAACAACCTTGTTACAACTCGTTTGCAGATCTGTAACAATTTGCGTGTTTTTACGCGCGTATGATCATAGGAAGCCCAAAACGGCGTGTAGAATGCACCAATAATGCTTCCAAATGTCAATTTGCATTAAGCTCGCTCCATTCCTTTGTCATTTGTCGCGCGCCGCAAGCACTCAATTTGAAAAGCAGTGTTGATATAGATTATACTGCAGGTAGGTATAGGTATAGATAGGCAACACTGCAGGTATAGATTATACTTATATAGGTATAATCTATATATATCAACACTGTTTTTCAAATTGAGTGCTTGCGGCGCGCGACAAATGACAAAGGAATGGGGCGAGCTTAATGCAAATTGACATTTGGAAGCATTATTGGTGCATTCTACACGCCGTTTTGGGCTGCCTATGGTATGATATAACACAAAAAGATTTGTCGATGTTATGGTCTCATCCGATCGAAGCCAGTCTAAACTAACCGGAATGATTCTTGAGTTTTGTTGGGCTTGTACATTTTCTGATTTCCTTTAAACAATCCAACGTAAGTGTAATAGACTTGTGTAGAACCTCTCTCTGAAAAAAAACTTCAACATTAATTTCTGACCCCAAAAGCAAAGATGGTTTGCTAATTAACAAACTCATTATTTAGTCCCGATCATTACTTACGCCCGTACTCTAAAAGCTCACTCACACTCAATGAGTGGAGGTTCAATCTAAGCTTCTCTTGAGTGTCAATGCTGTTTTCGAATAGCTGGAGGGTGAGTGGTCACATAGTAAGGTATGACACTAGCCCTCCAGCTATTCAAAAACAGCATTGACACTCAAGAGAAGCTCAGATTGAACCTCCACTCATTGAGTGAGTGAGCTTTTTAGAATACGGGCGTCAGTCGAGTTGCAAATCTCGTCAACTACATACACTCTTATCAGCTTTGAATGGACCATTCCCCATTTAACCAAAATTTTGATCTCAACAAGTCTAGACAAAATTCCATCATAGCATGAAAGAGCATCACAAAATTAGTAATATTCCAAAGTTTCGTTGCGAAATGTTGTAAAATGCGAATATAGCCTTGCGAAGTTTGTAATTTTCAGTCATTTTGTATTACGCACAGAAGTGGTAACCATTTCCCGCGCGTTTGTAATCTAAAATGACTGAAAATTGCAAACTTCGCAAGGCTATACTATCCGCATTTTACAACATTTTGCAACGAAACTTTGGAATATTACTAATTTTGTGATGCTCTTTCAAGCTGTGATGAAATTTTTGTCTAGATTTGTTGAGTTCAAAATTTTGGTTAATTGGGGAATGGTCCAAGTTTTATTCGCTCGTGTACGTCAAAAAATCGACAATTTTTCCTTGCCCAAGAGCCTTGTTCCAAAGCTAGGCATGGCAGGTTTTGGACAAGGAAATATGTTTGTCTGTACGACCGCCAAGGAAAACTTGACAGTGTACAAGAAATATTTCAATGGTTTTGGCAAACAAAAGGCGGCCATAATGTTTAACAATTACATTCCGTGCACACAAGCACCAAAACTTGTCAAGGGGAAACTTGTCCAGGAATAAAGGAATACCGAATGGTTTTCCAAGCAGGATTGCGTGATCCATGCACGAGGGATGTCGCGAGACTTTCGGAAAGCGTAAAAATACTCGAGCCGCAGGCGAGTGTATTCTTACGCTTTCCGAAAGTCGAGCAACATCCCAAGTGCATGGATCACGCTATCCTGCTTGGTAAAACCATTTGGTAATTGTTTTATAAAATAACCACAGTGAAACAATGACATTTTGAGAATCCCGCGAAAATCCCGCGAAGGCATTTTAATTCCCCGTACAGGATAGCCTGATCCTACACGGCTATTGACCAATCAAATTGCGTGTTTCACTGTAGTTATTATATAAAATTTCTTACGTCACTTTCGCACCATCTTGTTATAAGAGGCACCAATACTGTAAGACGCGTTTCAAAATCATAGTCACGATGCCATTCTGGTTCCATTTCAACATGGATTCCAGTTGCACGTTTCAACATACCCACACCCTTTTAGAAATACGAAAAGAATACGTCATTAGTATGGGAAGCCTTTACTGTGCTTTACGAAACCATTAATTTAGAACTGATAGAGCTATCCAGTACAAATAAAGTTAGTTTAGTTTAGGTTTCCTCCTGTAGTAACATTGGATCAATAAGAGATGATCCTTACTGGACCTCTAGGAAGAACAGTTTACAACTGATAGAGCTATCCAGTAAAAATAAAAAGTTAGTTTAGTTTAGATTTCCTCCTGTGGTAACACTGGGTCAATAAGAGAAGATCCTTACTGGAGGAAGAACAGTTTAGTAACACTGGAACAACAAATTTTCTCTAATATACCCACCTGGAATCGTCGGAACATTGACAAGAAAAGTTCAAGGAATTTGTAAAATTTTGCTTTTAAATTTTCAGTCCATTCATTTGGTTTGTTCTGAACAATATACCTAGTAATCCAATACAATAATAACGTTTTTCAAGGTCTAAACAATGTATCTAACAGGCCTTAAATGATGAAGGAGAGTGTTTTAAACATCCACTGTGTTCAAGTAGACAATAAAGTACAAGGTAAAATGTTTAAACTTCACAAAGACTGACCTTAAATCATGTAAAACAAAGTACAATCTTGATGACTTGTTGCGTTCATCACGACTGAAATCCATCGTTCCGTCATCTGGGCACAATAAAAATATACTCAACTACACACGTAAATATCTCACATCTTGTAGCGAGTCTGCCAACAAGTTGTGTTCGCACTGCTTGTCCCAGGTTGTCAACAAGTCTGCGAAAGACTGTGTAGAACTTAATGCTAATTTAAATCATGATTTAAACAATGTTAGTCAATGGCTGGTTAAAAACAAACTGCAGCATCATTCAACAAAAACCAAATTAATGTATGTCGGATCAAATCATAATCTTGCTAAAATTGACAATGAGTTTCCCGTAATGATTAATGATCAACTGATTCCCAGAGTGCACTCAATCTCGTGTTTGGGAGTTAAATTTGATGAAACATTGAATTGGGACGAACATATTGAAATTGTTTGCAAAAAAGTCGGAGCGGAAAACAAACACATTGATATCAATTTATAATGCTCTGATACAGCCTTACTTCGATTACTGCTCTCCCCTTTGGGAGGGGGGTCTCTCCCCTTTGGGAGGGGGGTCTCTCCCCTTTGGGAGGGGGGTCTGTAACAAAACACTAAGAGATAATTTACAAAAGTTCCAAAATCGGGCTGCCAGTATAATAGCTGGCGCCAGTTATGAGATCAGATCTGCTGACGTTCTTCGAACTCTTGACTGGGAAAATTTGGAAACAAGATGGTACTTAACCAAGGCAACATTCTTATATAAAGTAATAGTGCCGCACCAATTCTGAAAGATTCATTCATAAGTAGAAATATTTTACTAAACAATTATAATCTTACAAATTCTCAAACTGATCTGATCCGTCTAAAGCCAAAAAGAGAATTTCTCAAAAGAAGCTTTAAATATAGCGGTGCTTATCTTTGGAGTAACCTTCCGCTTGAAGCTAAGCAAGCTCAATCAACTTATATATTTAAAAGGTGTATAAAACAAAATTTTTGATGTTAATAACCGAGTCTGGATTCACTTAATCATATCTTTATCTGGGACACATCCAATGGCGGAAATCTTGGTGGGGCGGGGGGCGGCCGCCCCCCCCCCCTCCCACCTTCGTGGAAAATGACGAATTTTCGGAACTTTTGACCTTTAAAAGGGCTAAAAACAGCCTTTTCGAGTGCAAATGGGGGGGGGGGGTTATCGAAAATTTGAAAGTTTTGAATTTCCGCCACTGTCAGTCAGCCCTCATGGCGTTTTATTGTAGAACACAGGAGATGTCGGGCCAAGTAAAACTACTTGAATAAGTTATATTAATACAATAACAGCTATTACGAGCTTGGGATTTTCCCGCATCCTTGAAGAGTATTCATGTGGCCATCTTGATCAATATTCGATATTTTAGGCACCGGTACCAATGCAAGGAACACACGAACACCGCAATTTTAATTAAAATTTATTTTTATATTCAATTTCGGCACGGACACAATTTCACGAATGACATCACATTCATACAATACATATAAAATCTTATAGTGAAAATTTAGCTTTTAGCCCCTGAGTTCATTAATTATTCTGCACGCATATAGCCACAACCGGCTCGAAAGCTTCTGCTCCTCTGGTTGCCGTTCACAATCTTTTTTAAAGTACTCAATAAAATTTTATAATTTTCTTCTACTTTTGTAATATTACGTACTTGAGATAAATCCTGTAAAAAGTGAAATAAAATTGAATTGAAATTGAATAACATGCTATGTTATACGAAGCCGATTTTGCATATTAAGAATTTCAAATTGATAAACCGGAATGTTTTTCTATATAGTTCGAAGTTAATTTTTGGAACCACGTAGGAATCATGGTTGAAGCTACAGTATAGGCTATAGCTATGGAAAATTGTCAGTCAGCCCTCATGGCGTTTTATTGTACAACACAGGAGATGTCGGGCCAAGTAGAACTACTTGAATTAGTTATTTCAATACAATAAATTAATAGCAATTACGAGCTTGGGAATTTCCCGCATCCTTGAAGAGTATTCACGCGGCCATCTTGATCAATATTCGATATTTTAGGCACCGGTACCAATGAAAGAAACACACGGACACCGCAATTTTAATTAAAATTTATCTTTATATTCAATTTCGGCAAGGATACAATATCAAGAATACAAGGATACAACATCACATTTATACAATACATATAAAATATTATAGTGAAAAATGGCAGGGACACCACAACGACTACAACAGTTAAAAACGTACAATTACTGATAGCCATTTTAACATGTACAAGTAACATACGACAACAACAGTTAGGCCCGTTTTATACATCGAATTTTGGTTGCGTCGAATGCAATTAGTTGACCTGTATCTAAACACATATTGCTTCATTAATATCATTATCGAGACATAAGCATCATGCATATTAAGCAAAATTGTTGACTCCTACCGGTTGCCGCTTTTGAATTTGCATGCTTAGGAAAAATAATTGGTTGTTATTGGTTGTGACTGAAATGGACTAAATCCTGAATAAATTGAATGTCGATACATGCATGTCTTTAGTGCATGCATCATGTTAAAGCGGGTATTTCAAACTGGTTGCTCAATCGAACTATACGAATACTCATAGTATGCGCAAATATTTCTCGACTCTCGTGGCAAGATTTGAAGATGGGTTCCCCACGCTCTTCTCAGATATAGAACGGAGTGTGACTGGATGACTTCGTGTAAACAGTTTATTCATAGTTTATGTTTTGCAGACCTCGATCGATCAGTAGTCAGGGTTCATATACATATCGTAAATCCGCAATATTCTTTACATGGATAGGGCAATGTACAATGAAGTGGAAATATTTCATTTATCAATTAAAATCATTTGCATTTACTAATTCCTTTCGTGGCTACAATTATACTGTCATTAGATTGCATACAACTTATATATACTGCGGACGTCGCACAACAAACAACGAAGTGTCGAAGTGATTATTTTTTTCTGTTTGGTTGCAAAAGCACGCAATTTACCTTTATGTAGTCGCGCATAAGACCATGACATGTACAGGCTACCAATGTAGGTATAACTCTTCAGTACATATACATGTAAAGTTGTGTTTTCCCATGTATATATATACACTTAGTAAAACTCACCTACTAGAAAATACTTGCATGCAGAAACCCTCGCCTTCTGACAAAACCATTGTATTTTCCAAACATGACGTATTCAAAGTAATTTCATGGTAACACGATAATGTTTTAAGAATATTTTTACAAATGAAAAATCCCCTAAAAATGTCACTTTAATTACAAAATTACCAAATTGAATTTCCCAAACGTACTTTTGTTAGGTATATATGTTATTATACGTAATATAAGCTTCAATCTAAGGTAAAATTCAACCACAAACGCTTTCGCAAAACGTTTTACGCTTTCGCAAAACGTTTTAAAGTGTTCTTTATAAAACTAAACTGCCTTTTGACTTCATCGATAAACTTTGAGTTTGAAATAAAATGATTTCAAATTCTCGGCGCGTGCAAATATCTTTGCTTTCTTTCATATTTAAAAAATTTAATACAATAATAACGGGTAGTCAATAAAGTAGGCTATACACAGAAATTATATGCTATTTTGTTTCGTTTAATATACGCAACGTTTACACGATCGGCTATTATATAAAGCAATTATAAAGCAAGTAATTAACACATTAATATTTAAAACAAACTTACCTTCGTTAACGTCGGCGCCTTTCCGGCCCTTTTTTCTTAAAAAGCTTTTGAAATTCACAAAATCTTGCAACAATGAAATATATTTGCAAGAATTTATCAAATCAAGAAATGTTTGCTATTTCGCTGTCGTCATGCATGCAGTCGTTATAATGCAAATTTTAAACTTGACCAATCAGTGTTCACTATTCATGACAGTCGCCATATTTATGAGATTAGTGAGGATGACCACCCATCGTTGGTCACCCACGACCGCGATCATTGATGAACTTCAGACTGCGCTAATGCTTTCGTTTCCCCGTGTGTAAATAGCTGGGGAGAATTAGTATACCCTCGCCACGGGCTTACGCCCGGACGTTTGCTCGGGGAATAACAGATTGTGCATTTGGATGCATAAACTGCCAAGCCGTACCGCCAATGCATGACAAACACAATCCGGGCAAAACACTATTGCTTCAAGTTATTATGTATTTACAATATATAGTTATACTCCGGCTATATACTCGCTTTCTCCACCTGTAATACAGGACCGGAAATGGATTTGGAGAGGGAAGCAAAATTTGATTTTTGTCCATATCATAACAAGTAATCTGCATACATAAGTTGCTTCATAGGTCGCATTTGCATATATTCACTAACATAACCAATCAGATCTTGGATTTTGACGAGAAGTCCGCTTTCGTCCTTAGATGCAGGTCAACTATTAAGACAATAGATAATGAGATGATAAACTTCAGTTAAGCTTCATTATCTATTGTTTGAATTGCATTGGACGCGACCGAAATTCAACGTATAAAACAAGCCTTAATGACATTGTTCAAACTTCGACAAAAGCATTGCCTCCATTTGCAAGGAAATTTCCTTGCAAAAGGAATTTTTTTCCTTTGCATGGAAATGTGCAAGGAAATAAAATTTAGAAGGAAATGGCAAGGAATTTTATTGTCAGGAAAAAAAACAAGAAGGATATTACGTTATTTCTATCAAATCCTAAAATTAGAGCAATTTCCAAGCAAATTCGCATCAGAAAATGTCGAAAATTCTATCCTGGGGAATGGAAAATCTGAAAAATTTCTGGGTACGACCTCATACCCCAGATTCCTTCTACTTCGAATAAATTTCTGTAAACTTCTTCTTTGATAATCCCCTGCAACGTCGGATTTGTATGGATATTAGTGAGCATTGTTCTTAACAGGAATTGAGGAATGGGTTAAGTTAATTATCCTATTCCGAGCAGCTGTCAATAATAGTGGCAACTGTCCAACCGATTGATTAAATACAGAACGACAATGAGTTATCATTCTGTTGATAGTGCGACTGTTATGTTATACGACAACGAATCCGCATCTTAAGATTTTGAAATTAAAGGGGCACCGGCAGTGTCACGGCGCTGATTGGCTAAAATAAACGGCACAAAGTCCTTATGATCAGCGGCAAATGTCTTTACTTTGTGTAACACAAATAAAATTGAGTTGTCAACATTGTTACAGACTTTATTCAGTGAACTCAGAATTCACTGCTATTTAATTTTATATCACCTTGTTATGTCTGCGTCTATAAATGAAAAGCTAAGTTTTGTTTATTTTAATATGCTATTTCTGGGAATAAGCTAGTTGGTCACTATAAAATTTCCTGTCAGTTGTCAGACTGCAAATGCAGAAATACGTGCACCGGAGGATCAATGATGGCGAAAAGAAGAAACGTTGCCCCTGCAGAACAGCTAGTCGTTACTGTTCTCAGTTATGTGTATGTGGAAATAAAGAAAAACCGTGCGTAAACAAGGTAGGTTTGCAATATGTCTCGCAATATCTCAAATCTCACTCGCTCCTGGTATTGCTTTGACTTTTACATTTGTTTTAATTTTCAAGCAATTTCTCGAGCTCTATTTCCAAGACCTCTAGAGACGACTGGGGACAAGTCAGGGTTTTTTCATTTTGCATAAGTAACTCAACACTGTATTGCGCTATTGCGCCTATTTTGAATAAAATATTTGGGAAATATCTACTTATTCTTGTGCAGATTTATAGCATATATGTATATATTATAAGCTCTGGTATGCATTTCTTACATGTGTACTTTGTTTCATATGTTTTATCTTTTAATGTATTTTGTTGCAACTGTTTATGATGTCGGTTGATTGTTTATTATCTGTTATGCAGGAAGGATATGTTCCCCCGCCAAAAAGAAGAGAAGTAAATCCCAATCTGCTAGCCAAAGTAGCCATGATGACCAGTCCAATGATCTATCAACACCTGCTTTAAGACAATCAGAGGATGATAACAGATTGGACAACAATCAAGTTAAGGTAAGAAATGCAGGTACAGTAGTCCCCCGCTAACTCGAACTCGCTTAACTCGAACTAAATCGAATTCCCCTTGGATCTGACACTGTTTTTTATAGTAATTTACTCCGCTTAAATCGAACTCGCTTAACTCGAACTCCTCGCTAATTCGAACAAATTTTGTTTTCCCTTGGTCAAGTTTATCCGGTCAAGTTTATATTTTTCGAGTCGTGGATCGGCAAACCTTAAAATGTCAGAGCATAGCATTTTGACAACCGGTAACTTGGATTTTTATTCAAATGACGACAATTTATTCGGTGTATAAGTGATCATAAATTTTAAAAGATTATACACATAGTTGCGACGATTGTTATTGATCTATTTTTTTAGTTCCTTTTGTAAAATCTCTACATATTTTTCCTAAGAACTTTAGTTTGCATGGAACTTGCATGCCTTCTCCATCACCCAAGTTAAAAAGATACTGACTAAAGAACTTTAGTTATAGGGTTGCGCAATTTTTTCTAATTTTGATGAACAGTATAATAAACTTTATTACCTTATTAATTATTAACATAATAAACGAAATCTGACACCAACTCCGGTTAACTCGAACCCCCGCTAACTCGAACAATTTTTCGTTCCCCTTGGGAATTCGAGTTAGCGGGGTTCTACTGTATAAATTTTCAAACTTGAAAATAATGTAGTCTGTGCACTTTGCAAAAGCTGCCTTGTTTTATATAATGACATAATTATGTAGTGGATCATTGAATCATATTTTTAACATAAACAAATGCATAGTGTTTCACAAACTAATGCTGACTGATTCCTGTCTAAATTTCCCTATATGTTTCAGGTACATGAAAATTGAAAAGGCTGCAAAGAGAGTTTGTGTAGGGACCGGGCAAAAATTTTACTTTGGGGCCTTTGACATCATTATTAACCCCCAATGTACATAAAAAATCTTCAACTAGGATGTGCGTATGCCTGCCACGTACCTATTTTAAAAATACCCTCAACTTGCAAAGAGGCCGTCATAAAGACTTCTTAGCATAACTTATAACGCATATTACATTATTTCAAATTACTAGTCATTTCTTGATACATCGGATGCTGATATGGTCAAACAGCTTGCAATGTGTGTCCTCCAAAAGGGGGTTGGCCGTATGGATTATATTAATAGCATGATGATTGTAATATATGATGGCGATGAGGACGAAGTACCACCTGTACAACAGAATATTCAGGAAGCATCATCACCATCAAACAGCATGCAATGAAAGACAGGAACCTATTCCTGATTGGTGCAGATTTGTCCATTGCTTTATAATGCCCCAGGCACTTGAAAACAAGTGCTGTAAGCACAAGAAGTGTGTTACAAACACAAGAAGATTTAGAAAACTTTGTCTTGACCCAGAATTTTTGTTACTTAACGCCGAAATGTTGGTGATATCCGTAATGACCCACATCATAATAGCACCAGGGCATTTAGAAAGCAGGCATCCCGTCATTATATTTTAGATACATATGGATACTTAGGTAAAGGAAACAGAAAAGTGGCCCCATCATGTGTGGTGACATGCATTAGAAGGCATTATCCATCTCCAGTTGGTGTAGATATGGGATATCGAGAACATTAAGAATGGAATATGCATGTGGTATAAATCATTTTTATTCAATAAAAAAGACAGATTTTGTTGTGATGGAGCAGTTTCACAATAAGCGACATATCATATATTCATATCATCAACAATTCTGGAACCTGCTCACTTTCCTTTGATGAAGTGTCCTTAAATCTTCTGGGGCAACCCCTGCAATTGTAACACTGATTTTTCCGGGATCATCATCGCTCACCTGTGTGCCTAAAATAGACAAATACAAAAAATCTGTGTAATTCCTTGAAATGCCATAATAAAAGCCGTTTAATCCATTAAAGTGCAAGACTCTCCCATTGACGAATAAAATCGTCTGGCATTAGACAGAGTAAATAATACATTATGGTGCGTTTGGGCGCATTGCTAATGATTATTAATACCTAAAAAAAGCAATGCATTAGTGGGCGATTCATTTCCAAATGGGTATGTTATAAAATACTTTTTCACCTAAAACGAGTATAGAATCTGAAGGTGTCAAGTAGTTTTGGATTGGATTGGTCTTGAATACCTCCTCTCTCCTATCAAACCATTCCATATTTCCTTCTTCAGGTAACTCTCCATGTCCACATCTTCTTCCTAGCCAGGAATGTGTATTACACACATGATGAAGCAGACCGAACCACTTATAATATCCTGCAAACAGAATTATAATATTGTATAGTAGCAGGAGTCGGTCAGACTGTGTTGCTTACATATTCAATGTATATCACGTAACCCAATCAATTATTCAAATCATTTTAAGTCACAATGTATCAAACACATGTCTTAATGATTATGGAAAGAAACTTAGAGATGAGCAAATATTTACCTTCATTTCCTTCACAGCTTCATCTTGAGTCGTTTCATTCTTGGAGGCTACTTCACAACACTACCAAAAGTGTTTAATGATTTCACACCAGTCCATAATTTTTTGTTTTCCTCTGATTTTGCAATCCATAAGATTGAAAGTAGAAAGCACTCCTCAGGCATGCACATTTCTGCCAACATGTTTTACTATTAATCTTATGTTAGGCAACAAACCAACATAATGTAGCATGTGTTAACTCTCTTGAATGATTAATTTGCATACCATAATTTGCATAAGTGTAATTAGCACATGCAAGCAGCTATTCAGTTGTTTTAACCCTGAAAAGCCTGCCTGTAAGGCTGAATTTTTTCAATAGTTTATCTGATTCTTATCAAACTTTAACCAAAAGCTAATGGTTCCATCCCTGGCATATGAATATTCTCTTAGGTGTACGGGACTGATGCTTTCCATGGGGGAGATTGTGATGAAATAATTGCCTGAATTTAACCTATTTTCTGATAAATCTCCCGAATTTTCTTAATTTTTTCCAGCATTTTCCCGAATTTCCAATGGTTTTCCAACATTTTTTGGGCGCAGTTGCCCCCTCCTCCCTGCCGCCCTGTTTCGTACGCCTATGAATATTCTTTGCACAAAGTTTCGTAAACATTGGTTCCGCATTAAAAGACAGACAAACACACAGGAGTGAAAACAAAATCTCCTGCCAGAGGTAATGATTTTGTGGATATTTTTATGGATGGGAAAGAAAATAACAATATGTCATTGACATATCAACAGGTACATTAGTTTTGTTACTAACCTTGGTAATGACCTTTCTACTATTCTTAGACTTATGCCAAACATCCAATGAATGAAAGATATTCTTAAATTCATCCTCTACATAAAAAAATTAAAATGATCACTTTCACCATCCTGATAAATAATACATGTCATTAACAGTGGTGAAGCCAACCCGCATTTTGGTCATACATTGCAAATATTTCCATGTAAACAGACTGTGAAAACAATCAATTCCCAAAGAAATGAATAATGATTACAAATTTGCAGTGCATGACCAAATTGTCGGGCTGACTTTTCCACTGATCATTAAGTTTAGTATTACCCAAAGAATTACTATATTCACCTAACATCTTGATTATACTAGTTGAAGCATCTGTGACAACCTCGAAATATCCAGGACATTCTTTAATCGAATTGAGTTATTTTCAGAGCTTTACGTTGCATTTTGACTGATTTTAGATCAGTTGGCCTTTTATCAGAAATATGAAGGTCAATAACGTAATCTGTTTCCATGTCCATCAGAAAATAGCACTGATTCTTAGCTGAGTAACCTGGAGAGTTACACTGACCATCCCTGAAACAACAATTTTCTTCCCACTCAGTTTGTTCTGCAGAAAACCTTTATGCCATTCCCACCACTCATTTATAACTGGTAAACAATAAAGCCTTTGGAAACGACAGAATGTTGAACTTGAAATAAATGACAATTCTAAGAATCTGGCAAATTTCTCCATTTTATAAAATTGTTTCCTGATAGCAAAATGGATGCTGCAGTTTGCAGATATGTGGCAGCGATTCGGTACAAGTGTGGGTACTAAATTTCGCTTTGTTATTGAAAAGACATGCACAAAACATAAGAAGAGTAGAATTTCCCAGATTGACCACTATTGCATGTCCACTCAATGTGCCAATTAAAGTGTGCTTTGTATACACCTTGTGATTACATGTTGGATGCTGCATTTCTCTTGAAAGATCTGAAGCAACAAATCTAGCGTGCAAATTATTTTGGCCCTATTTAGCAAGTTTAATCTGTTCTTGGTTTAACTTTGGGGGCCAAAAATGTTTTCTGTTGAGACTGCCAGGGTTGCTCAGATACAAAATAATTATAAAACGTAGAAGATTAGCGAGCTTAAGCATCTAGGACGGGAACGCGACGGCGACGGCAGACAAATTCGTTGAACCAAATGATTGCAGAGGAAAACCTGTCGTTTATTATCCATCGTATGAAAATAATACATTTTAAGGATCAAAACTAACACTGGGTTTATGATTGAGAAAAGTTCTAGGACCCAATTTAAAATAGCAGTTGTCCCAACTTGAAATGTAAGCGTTGTGCACAAGACGTGATAATCTGTATTTTGCCGCTGTAAAACAGAGCTACGGCGACGTCTAAAACGTCCGTGAGATTTCAATTGTTAATTTCTGCTCATTTTCTTGCATTAATATGGTATTATTAGCTGTTCTTGTTGCAGTTTCGTCCTGCTTTGTCGAAGTTCTCAATAACGGTATAGTTCTTTATAATTACAAAAGTGTACAATTTAAGGCGGTTTCTTGGCACGTCCCCGCACTAGATTAAGCTTTGCTTAAGTTCGCTAATATCAGAGGGGAGGGGACGTTGTTGCACTAGTATGTCAGATGTTGACTCAGATGTTTCGCCATGCTCATGAAATTATTTGCCATTCAGATGTATTCGCCATGCTCATTTACCTAAGCCCCATCCAAACAGCACATTTTATCCTGTTTCCAACAATGGCTAGAATCATGACCCTTATTTTAACAGATATTTTTCTTTATAAAATTTTTTAGTGCATATATAAGCTTTGCTTCATTGCATAGGCTTAGAAGTTCTCTCCTCACAGTTCACTTTCCAACATATTCAATAGATAACAATTTATTCAATTACATACCCACCATGAGAGCTATGTATAATGAATAATAATAAGCGCTGTAGACATGCACCACAAAAATGTTTACAGAGGTAAAAGTAATTTTTACAAATTTAGGATGGTAAGCAACCTTAACAGACACATCATTGACATTTTTATCAAAATTTAAGTCATAGGTAAATTATACTTCGTTTACTGAAAATTAATGTGTTTCTTCCCCATCTGGTTATAACTTAACAGCTTAATTACTACCAGTATGTTGAGTTTTGATACTGAATTTCAATGATTTTTATTCATACAAAATACAGTTGTATTTACACTACAAGCCTTGGCCTAATCTTGGCCGGACCAAGGTAAATGTGCCGTGTTTAAACCATTACACTGTTTTTTTGAGACTGGCTCACTTTGGCCTAGAAATTTGTAATTAATTTTGTGTATTTTTATGTGTTGTGGTGGCCGCTAATCTCTCACTGCAGGCACACGTTGCCATGGAAATAATTCCCAAGCCAGGGCTGAAAGTGTTTACATTTCCACAAGCCTAGGCCACCGGTTGTAGTGAGCCCAGATTTACTGCCCTAGGTCAGGCCAAGGCCAGGCCAAGATCTGTTTTCACTCTGTCAATATGTAGGCCAATGCCAGGTCAAGGCTGGTAGTGGAAACCAGGGGCGGCGGAACAGATTTCATTTTGGGGGGACTAAATTTTTTTTCGTGACCCCCCCCCCCCCCCCCCCGTCGCCAAAAAAAATTTCGGTCAGTGTATCATTTTAGAGGTACAAAAATGTTTCCGGACATATACACGGAAGGGACGAAAAAATTTTTCCCGGACCTATAACAAAAATTTTTTCTGGACATACACTATTTTTAAACAAAATATAGCAAATTTTTCCCCTTATACCTAAATTTTCAAAAAATACCCTAAATTTTTCCTTAATTATCAAAATTTTTCCAGAAAAAACAGAATTTTCTGAGGGGGGCTATGCCCCCCCACTTTTACTTCTGGGGGGGGGGGGGCTTTAACCCCCTAGCCCCCCTGTTCCACCGCCGCTGGTGTAAACAAGACTTACAATACTGTATGACTCACGTTATATTTTCATCACTGTCTTTATCACTGTTTCTATCACTGTCTTCATCACTCAATGCGCATTCAGATAATGAATCCTGATCTGAATCACTACCCACATCACTTGAACTGCTCCCTGTTGGTGACGAGCGATGTACAGATGCTGTGTCATCTAGCATCCTGTAACTTTGATTCAGGTTATCTGAAGATTGTGATAAACTGTTAATGTTTAGAATATCATCTTCTTCTGAGCTATAAATAAGTGTAATGTACAAAATATATTACTGTACAATGATATTCACGATCATACATTAATTGAATTATGACCACGTACACACACATATACTCTAATCTTATTTAAATTAAGAAAAAGAAGAAGATTTATTACCAATAACAAAAAAAGGAAGTACAAAAAAACTATATATACATAATTAATATAGTTAATATATATGGTTAGGTAATAAGCTAACTAAGATAGTCTTAGAAGACTAGCCTAGTTAGTTATCTGCTGTATAATATTATGACATAAATAATGATAACAGACTGGAGAAAGTATAAATTATTATATAATGGAAAATAAACGAGGGAAAAAATTTTCGAGTTTGAATACACATTGCATAAAACCAAATGGAGTTGAAACAAAAATACTATTTTATAATTATTAAATACTGATCAAGAATTTTCCTAATCAAACATTTTTTAAATTTTATCTTCGATAAGTCCTTTATACTCTCATCAAATTAAATTGCATTAGTTGACTTACTTGCTGGAATCTATACTGAGACGTACTGTAACTCAATTGTCTTCTCTAGAGGTTTCGATTTTAATGGTGTCGAAGAATTAAAACATAGCGAGCACATCAACTGCAGAAGTAAAATATAGTACTGTTAGCCAATTAGGACAATAAAAGCAAAATACATGGAGAAAATATATGCTATATATTCCTTCAAATTCCTTACAATAGTCATGCAGAGGTAAGACTTGGGTTGTTCACTGTCCATATTTACGTCAATCTCTTCACTCATGGTCTTTGGCTTCGACTTCGCAGCTCGTTGCTTTTCTTTGCCTTTGGTTCGCGTATTCTTGCCGATCCTTAAAATGCAAGCGAATATTAGAACAACGATTATCATTTTGCTGTATAATGCAAAACAATTTTAAAAACCATATACATATCTGATAATTTACATGCTTGTTTTGTCTCTTCAGTTCCAATGACAAAAAGTGCTTGGCAAATGCGGTGTCACCCTTGTATTTGCATAATGTTTTCATGTTTTTCCAACTTTCTAGTTGTACCGTAATCTCTAAAGCAATTCTTCGGGGATGGGAATACCACTTTTCTTTGTACAATGTTTGTTTTGCCTCGCCTTTCTTAAACGAATTTGATGATAATAAAGGTCTTTCGCTTCCTACACGAGTACCGACATGTTTTGATGTTGTTGACTGTATGTTGTGAGCTGTTTTTTTATCACAACCGATAAAAATATGCAGTAAAAAACGTTTAAGATTAATGGTACATGATTGGATAAGATGCAGCAGTCTTCAATTTTATGCGGCAAACCGGAAGTGCTGAATAAAGAAGAGATTATAAATAGTATTGTATTTCACTCCTAACTTGATTAATTGTTGGCAGACAGTTTTTCAAGTTCGCACATATTTTGGATAAGCAGTAGCACCGTGACATTGCCCCTATTAAACTGGAATAGTTTTCTAGTTCGAGGTTAATTTTTGGAGCAACGTAGGAGTCAGGTAGAAGCTACAATAGTTATTGAAAATTATCTCAGCACTTATTGCGTTTTATTGTACAACACAGGAGATGTCGGGCGAAGTAAAGCTACTTGAATTAGTTATTACAATTTATACTATTACGAGCTTGAGATCTTCGTGCATCGTTGAAGAGTATTCATGCGGCCATCTTGATCAATATCCGATATTTTTAATATAGATCGAACGGTTACACACAACCATGACATTAGTGTGCGTCTTTGAAGAAATGAAAAACGAAAGGTGTATGTAAGAACGGTTTTGTATGGATTATATTAAGTATTATTATACATAAGCACCGGCTAATTTTCTGTATTCGGCATTTATTACGTATTTTCCGCCGATGACGTCATCAGCGTCCAGTAATTTTTTTGGATCAAACTTGCATTCAAAAAAAAATTAATGGACTCTCTCGTGCCCAAACCCTTGCGCGGCCAAAAGCTTGAACCTATAAGCGCGCGAAAAAAAAAAAACAAACAATGGCCTACAGTAGATTTGCTTCGCTGAATGAAAGTGAACTCTCCAAATTATTGGCAGATAAGGATAGTGAAAGCACGAAAAAAGCCACAAAGGGGTAAATAGAAGTAGAAATAGAATATTTAGCTGACCTTTGACTTTGTGCAAGGTGTTTGATATTCAAATTGTATTTTCCTACCTCATGAACAGGAATATCGTTTTATACGTTTCTCATGTCTTAAAGATTCTCATAATAAAACAAGTATTGGATTCGGCTTTCGCATGATATCAAGAATTATTCAGACCTCGGTCTATGTTATCCGCCTCAGCTTCGCTTCGGCAGATAACATTGACCTCGGTCTGAATAATTCTTGATATCATGCTCAGCCTCATCCAATAATTGTTTATTATTCTTAACAGGATTGGTTAATTATCTCATTTCAAGCAGCTGCCAATAATAGTAGCAACTTTGCAACTGATTGGTCAAACACAGAAAGACAATGAGTTGTCATTTTGGCGACATACAATTACAGCGACTTTTATGTTATACGAAACTGAATTCGCATCCTAATAATATTAAACACAAGCAAACCGGTTTACTGAATGTCAACTTTTTCTTTAGGAACAGATCATTTGTCCAGTGCACTTTGTTCTTTAGCCAATGGATATGTACATGAACGATGATTTTGATTTTATCAGTTCTTAGGCCAGGGTTAAACGTCGAACTTTTCATGTGCCTAACCTAATGTTAACAAGACGCCTGCTCAGGCGTTCATACTGACCTGAAAATAACGACATACGTGCTATGGTGCAATAGACAGAATAGACAAGAAACGCAAAGCGTGAAACGGTGAAAGGCTAAAAGCGTCGCGTGATGTTCAGGAGAAGTTTTCGTAATGCCCAATGAAACACAAGTATTACTCACAAATACAAACGTTACCATAAATGCACATGGTCTCTGCATGAGCATGCGATGCGCTAACGCGGACAGCAGTATTTACATTCCATGAGTCTGTATTTCTCAGTAAAATACAGCACAGAATGGTACAGCACAATGAGTATGGCACAGTACAATATAGAATGGTACAGTACAATACGGAGTGGTACAGCACAATCCAGTATGAGACGATTGACAGCACAATTCAGTATGGCACATCACAATGCAGTATGACTCAGTAAAACACAGAATGGTACAGAACAATGAGCTAGTATTCCACAGTACATTAATGCAGTTTCGCACAGTAAAATACAGAAAGGTACAGTACGATGCGTATGACACAGCACGATGCAGTATAGCACATCACAATGCAGTATGTCTCAGTAACATACAAAATGGTAGAGCACAATGAGTATGGTACAGCACATGAAAATAGTATTGCACAGTGTCATACAGAATGATACAGAACAATGCAGCATGACACAGCACAATGCAGTATGGTACAGAACAATGCACTATGACACAGCACAATGCAGTATGACACAGTAAAATACAGAATGGAACAGCACAATGCAGTATGGCACAACACAATGTAGTATGTCTCAGTAAAATACAGAATGGTACAGCACAATGAGTATGGCACGGAACATGAAAGCAGTATTGCACAGTACAATGCAGAATGGTACAGAACAATGCAGTATGGCACTGCACAATGCAGTATGGCACAGCACAATGCAGTATGGCACAACACAATGTAGTATGTCTCAGTACAGTACAGAATGTCACAGCACAGTGGGTATGGCACAGCACATGAATGCAGTATGGCACAGTCCAATGCAGTATGACACAGTACGACACAAAGTGGTACAGCACAATGTAGTATGACACATTACAATACAGAATGGTACAGCACAATGAGTATGGCATATCACAATGCAGAATGACACAATACAATACAAAATTGTACCGCACAATGAGTGTGGCAAAGCACATGAATGCGGTATGGCACAGTGCAATGCAGAATTGTACAGAACAATGCAGCAGTATGGCACAGAAGAATGCAGTATGACACAGTAAAATAAAGAAAAGGTACAGCACAAATGAGGTATACATTACAATGCAGTATGCCAAAGTACAATACAGAATGGTACAGCACAGAGCAATATGACGAAGCTCATGAATGTAATATGGCTCGTCAGAAAGACAGAATGCATCATGACACAGTCAAATACAGAATGGTACAGCACGATGTAGTATGGCACAGCACAGTGCAGTACGGAATCGCACAATGCAGCTTGGCACATCAAAATGCAGTGTGGGACAGAACATGAATACATTATGATATGACACAGTACAATGCAGTATCAATATCGACAGTATGCCACCGTGCACAATGCAGTGCGGCACAGCTGCATAATTATTTCAGTATGGCGCAATTTAGCGTAACAAAGCACAATACAATATGGCGCATTGGGATCCAGTATGGCACAGAATAGTATGGCACACGCGGCACAGCGTATTGCAGTGTGGAGCACTACGAAATGGCACAAAGTGGTATAACCACAAAAATAAATTCGTAGTAAACAACGTAAATAGTGGGAGGAATGCGTGTATTGCTTGACGCCCACGTGTCCTATCGTAAACGTTTAGGCACCTCATTTTTCGAATTTTTTCGAAAAGACCTCATAATTGCTCTTGGATAAAACAAGCTGTAGTGGCAACTTTTTGAAGTAAAACTACTTTATGATTTTGATATCCCCCACTCTAGTACAATAGAATTTTCTTGCCAATTGATAGTTCTTATTACTTATCAATAAGACTTGCATGGATTCACATGGATACTCCTGGGGAATGAGGAAGAAAACGTCTCTCATTCGAAATGTTTGCTAGGTTAAAGTGATATTTGCATGCAAAGTAACCGAAGAGTACATAAAACGGCGCACTCGGATGTTGGGAATGTTTTGATGAATTAATGAATTTTAATAATGGAACCATCTTGAGATTATCATCATATGACAAGGTGTATCAAAATTTACAAATATATTTATTGAAAATATAGAAATATATTACAAATGTCTTGGAGGTTTAATTAGCCGAGATAAAAAATGTTTAATAACAATTTTGTGCAATGGGCTACTTACTTGGCTTATAGCGATGCCCGCTATGTATGACGTTAGGAGCTAGTCCTCACTTTGCAACCGAACGACATGGCCACTGTAGGAGCAAGCAATTATGTTTTGAAGATGAAATGGCGGATTTTTAACAACTTTTTGCACCATTACCAAAATATGTAGATACAGCTGTTAAATTCATAATTTCCCATTGAATTCAATTGTTCAGCCCTGCTTTTCCCTGCTGAGTATCAAATACCTCCCCGTGCTTGTAGAATGTGACCCTAATGAACTGGTATTATGAAAAACAAAGCCATTCACCCGTTCGCATGCATGGGTGATTCTTGTTCGCGACTAGATTTCTCTTCCTCGCCAATTAGATTAAGTAATCCATAACTCACAAATATGTAGGAAGCCCAGATAAAGTTTTCCTGATGACTTGATACTAAAAATATCTTCCTTTCAGGCGGCTATTAATTTACCAACTGCATGAGTGAGTCGTCGCCTGTAATGTTCACTTTATACAGGGTGTATCAAAAAAAGCGCAATCCTCGACTGAAATGTAGACTGCTAAACAAATAATAAACGAAAACGTTAAAGTTTACATTCATTTTAAAGCGTAGCTATTCAGCTTTCTAACAGTGGGTTGTTTCTTAAATTTGACTCATTGGTCCGCGGGTAATAATACTTTCCGTTATTGCGATTGGAGATTAAAAAAATTGAGATGGAATAACAAATCGTTCTCGTGAAAATAACTGATTTTTTCATTAAAACAAAAAAATGTTGCATTTTATTAAATGGATTGTAACAATAAGTATAATTACGGCTTTTCTTCCACTATTTTTTAACTCAGTTTGAAACTTCAAATGCGATATAATTTTGGCTTGGACCATCTAAGCTGACTGACATCAACTTGCTATAATTTCTGTTTACATTACATCGCAATTCGATGACACTCTGGCTCAGACACCAGAATGTTTGACGATTTTTAGCATTCGTTTAGGATTTTCAAACAACCTGGTCTCTTTTAAAATACTTTTAATTTGTTCTTACGTGGTTTCCAGATGTAGTGACGACAACATTAAAGTTTAAAGAAGAAAATTCTAACATTTAAACCGACTAAACAATAACATAGTAAACTTGCATAATTAAACAGCAACTAAAAATGATAGGTTTTACTAAATCTTTTCCTGTGCAATTATTACTAGCATTGGAGACAAGGATAATAGTTTGTTAATTAAAAGAGAAAAGAACAGGCTTTGAAGTAAGCCTAAAAGCGTTTAACTAGAAAGAGTATTTCGAAAGTTATTAAGCACAAAAGATGAATTGCGTTTATTTTGATACACCCTGTAGTGCAACACTGCTGCGTATTTAGTTTAGTACAGCAAAACAATGTGCTATCCCTTCAAAAATTAGAATATCATTGAGCAAAATTCGACAAAAAAAACACTTTAAAAAATGCTGATAAATCTGATCATTTTTCGTTCATTACGCATAGGGGACACTATCGGTGAAGATGTAATTAGTATAGGTAATCACACGGGAAGGAGTGCAATTAATGATTAACACTACGAGTGATATTTGAAAAATGTGCCAAAATTGCACGAGCCGCCGAGGCGAGTGCAATTTGGCACATTTTTCAAATATCACAAGTAGTGTTAATCATTAATTGCACGACGTATTTATTTATTATATTCATGACAAAATCGCTTTCTTTATATTTCAACTGCATTTTGTCAAGAGTTTTTAATTCTTTTGTAAGCAGTTTGGTATAAACAAACTTGGGAAATAATTATAAACTCATAAAGGCACATAACTTAAACAAGAACACAAGATTCAAACTCAAATAACATATTTTAGACTAAGAAAATCTTTATAAATTGTATTTCAAACTTACATAGTCACGTTTCGCTGCATCCCGCAAAGATTATTTCTTAAGACTGTTTCCATGTATGTTTCACAGGCTCTTTTTACCATACAATGTTTCTTAAACTCATTCTTGTGCCAAAATTCAGTTAAATTCGTCCACATTTGTTAGAAATACTTATCTAAATTTCGCCGCCATATTGGATTTTGTTGTTTTGATTTCCCGCTCCCCCAGCCATCACGAAAATCATTAATTGCATTCCTGGAGAGTGCAATTAATGAAATAATTGCACTCCTCTTAACCAATCAGATTGCAGTAATTTTGTCATGTATATAATAAAAGGGAAAACTAATCGCTGGCAGATGGTGTCCGAGGTACACCATTTGCGAGGGGCTGTGAAACCAGTTTAATGCTTAACGCAGTATGGCACAGTAAAACACAGAATGGCACAGCACAATAAGTATGGCAGAGCACAATGCATTGTGGCACAGTACAATACAGAACGGTAAAGCACTATGTAGTATCGCACATTACAATCCAGCTTAGCACCGTACATTGCACATTGCAGTATGGCACAGTACAATAGAGAATGGTATAGCACAATGAGAGTGACAAAGCGCTTGAATGTACTATGGCGCATCACAATGCAGTATGACTCAATACAATACAGACAAGCTGCTCCATTCACTGTTCGGAGTACTCCGAAATTTCGGAACACTAATGAATGGAACAGAAGACAGTCACATGACTGTTCTGAACTGTTCTGACTACCCCGATTTTCGAGTAGCGGCAGCCAGAACAGACACGTGACACTGCCTATTTTTACGTGATTGCAAATGGTGGCGACATATTTTGTGTATCCAATGCATACTGTGTAGAGCGTTATTTTGAAGGGTTGGCTGCTATATTTCGACATATACTTATTATATGCTATTTGAACGCCAGGGCTGGGCAAAATTAACGACTAAAAACGTTGCAAAAGCATACGTAGATCAGTACAGATAACAGCGAATCATTATACGCTTTATTATGCGAATAACTAATTAATATAGTAATGCATGGTTGCACGCATATTATAATAAACTCAACACTGTTCCAGAACACCGTGTGCACTCCATTTTATATCGCTCCAGAACAGTGTTCCAAATGTCTATAACAGTAAATGGAGCAGCCTGAAAATACTACAGTACAATGCAGTATGAAACAGAACATGAGTGCAGTATGGCACAGCATAATGCAGTATGGCCCAGTGCAATACAGAATGGTACAGCACAATGCAGTATGTCTCAGCAAAATACATAATGGCACAGAACAATGAGTATGGCACAGCACATGAAAGCAGTATTGCACAATGCAATTCACAATAGTACAGAACAATGCAGTATGACACGGCACATGAACGCAGTTTGGCACATCACAATACACTATGGCACAGTGCAATACAGAACGGTAAAGCGCAATTAGTATGACAAAGCACATGGATGCAAGATGGCATAGTACAATGCAAGATGGCATAGTACAATGCAGTATGGCACAGTACAATGAAGTATGGCACATCACAATCCAGTATGGCACAGTACAATAGAGAATGGTATAGCACAAAGAGTATAACAAAGCACGTGAATGCAGCATGGGAGATCGCAATGCAGTATGACCCAGTACAATACAGAATGATGATCCACAATGAGTATGGCGCAGCACATGAATGCAGAATGGCACCCTACATTGCAATATGGCACAGTGCAATACAGAATGGTACAGCGCATGAATTCAGTAGTGGCACATCACAATTTGGTATGACACAGAACAATACAGAATGGCACAGCACAATGCGTATCGCACAGCACATGAAAGCTGCATTATGGCACAGTACAATACAGAATGGTACAGTATGACACAGTACAATACAGAACGATAAAGCACAAGAGAGTATCGCACATCACAATGCTGTATGATACAGTACAATACACTAGTAATGTACAGCACAGTGCAGAATGACAAAGCACAAGAATGCAATATGACACATCGCAATGCAGTATGATTCAGTACAATACAGAATGATACAACAAGATGAGTATGACCCAGCATATAAATTCAGTATGCACAGTACAATACAGAACGGTAATATAAAGCGCAATGTAGTATCGAACATCACAATACAGTATGACTCAATACAATGCAGAATGCTCCAGCACAATGAGAATGGTACAGCAGAATGAGTATGACAAAGCATATGGATGCAGTATGGCACAGAACAATGCAGTATGGCATAGTGCAATACTGTATGGTACAGCACAATGAAGTATGGCACATCACAATGCAGTATGAATCAGCAAAATACAGAATAGCACAACACAATACAGCATGGTACAGAACATTGAAGTATGGCACAGTACAATACATAACGTTAAAATACTCATTAAAAATTCATAAACCTTGTGGCAAATCATATCAGCCAAAATATCTCACATGGAGTGAGTTATATCTGATAAAACTCATCTTCGTTAGTATTTTTTATATAATTGTTCATCCTAATTAGTATGATTATATAATTGTTCATCCTAATTAGGATTCTTTTTTAGTCGTATATATTTTAATCTATTCAAAACACTCGTTGTCGCGTTTTATCCGATATGAAACGCTCGGCTGCGCCTCGCATTTTATGTCTAATGAAACACTCCTACTCGTGTTTTAAATAGTACATAAAGCACAATGTAGTATCGCACTTCACAATGCAGTATGATTCAGCACAATACAGTAATGGTACAGCACAATGCAGTACGGACATCACAATGCAGTATGGCGCAGTACAATACAGAATGGTACATCGCAATGCAGTATGACAAAGCACATGAATGTATGGCGCAGATGTCATTAAAGGGGACACTATTCGCTGCCAGATAATGTCCGGGGGGCAATATCTTTAAGGACACTATTCGGTGTGACACCAGCTTAATTCTGAACGCAATCTTCAGTTCATGGCAGTCGAATATTAAATATTTTGTCACAGAGAACCACAAAAATAGACATAAAGCTGTAACTGAGAAATAATTAATGGTTTATGGGTCCTCCCCTGGGCTCGATTACCGCTTTAATTAATGTATGGCCTATCCATTTCACATTGGATAATAATTAAGCACCAACTTTAGACATGGATCTCATATTCCACGATGGGCCGCGCGTGATTCTTTTGGAGTGCTACTGTGCTAGTATCTTTGATCAATAATGAGTGGCATCCTGTGGGTGCCTGAAATCACTTTCTGCTTCATTGATCAATAACAATGATCTTTGTTTGGCGACATAATCTTTAATCCTTGTTTCAATATGACGCTGACCAGCCACCGACTCATTGTCAGTAGTCATTGAAGGAGATAATGATTCAGATACACAAACGATTTTACTCATGAGCAATCATGCACCGACAACGGAAGTCGCCGACTGTCGGCGTCATATGGAAACCAGACAAAATGAACGAGGCTTAATTGATACGTTAGCCGCGGCATTACCGAATGTTAATTCAGCAAATTACATAGAACCTTGAGTATAACTTGTATTTTCGAGCTGAATTATATGTACGAGCAACTTGAAAAACGATTACCATTTCAGGTAAGCTTAACTGATTAATGAACATTAATGTCTGTTTCTGGAAAATTATGACACATCACAATTCAGTACGGCGCATTTCACATTGGTTAATAAATGATAAAATTTAAGCATATGTCTCATATTTCGCCAACGGGCCGCGATTCCTTTGGAGTGGTGCTGCGCTAGTATCTTTGATCATCGATGACTGACATACTTTGTTTCCTTCAGTGCTCAATAACAATGATCTTTGATCGTCAACCATTGGCGACCTAACATTTATGTAAGAGGTTTGATGTATAACGATCAGCATTACAGAATATTAATCCAGCATATTCCTCGCATGCAGCTGGTATTTCGAGGCTGAATTAGTACGAGCAACTTGAGAAACAACTACCATTTTAGGTTAGGCTTAACGTTAATGAACATTAATGTCTGTTTCTGGTTAAACTGCATACATACATACATACATACATACATACATACATACATACATACATACATACATACATACATACATACATACATACATACATACATACATACATACATACATACATACATACATACATGCATACATACATACATACATACATACATACATACATACATACATACATACATACATACATACATACATACATACATACATACATACATACATACATACATACATACATACATACATACATACATACATACATACATACATACATACATACATACATACATACATACATATATACACACACATACGTATAGGTTATTTTGAGGCAACGAGGGGATATGTCATTTATTCACCGAGGCGCGCAGCGCCGAGGTGAATAAACACATATCCCCGAGGTGCCTCAAAATAACGTACTTATTTTTCACACTGCGAGGTCGCGTTAATGAGTCAGAAAAGAAATAATTCTTAATGCCATATTGTCTTCGCGATGTTGTTGTTTCTCATTTTTTGTGCTGTAAAGACATTGCAGGTGAATATTAGAGGGGATTATTAATTGCAGGTGAATATTAGAGGGGATTATTAAACGGAAATTGACGAGCAGGGTGAAAAATAAGTAAAAATTTACTAACAAACATACAAACTGTTTACATAATTATTGCTTTCGAAAATGAAACTTCATTAGTCTTTTGAAACAACTCAATAGAATTGAATTGTTTTGCAGGGCCTTGTAGTAATTGGTAAATTATTCCAAAGAGTTGCTCCACTATTATTGAAGTGAAGGATTTTTTCTTAAATTCTAATTTTGGGAAAGGCGGAAGTACCAGATCTGTTTGAGAATTTCTTAAGGGCTGTTTACATGAGCCCAGTTTGCTGTGCTGGCCCGCTTAAACGGGGCGCCCGGCTTCATAGTAATTTCCAACACAAAACAATTTTACTTTACATGACATGACAACCGATCGAGCCAGCCCATTTAGCTGGGATCCCACTTGACTCAAACGGGGTGCCCGGTCAGCTGGGCTGAAATTGCTCCATGTGAAGTATCCAGCCTGGGAATCTGGGCTAGAACAAAAATAAAACAAAAATAAAAGACAGAAACTGATAGTTTTCTTGATAAAGTTTTATTGCCACCCTAAAGTTGCAAGAACATCGGCCGACCTGATATCATAAGACGCTCTTGTTATTACTCTATAGCAGCTCGTGAATGACATTTCAGTAGTTTTTCCAGTAAGACGATTTCACTGCAGTTATCGTACAATTGACCCCATGCAGTAGTCAAAACAGGGCTGTATATTAAGGTGTTGTAAACTATTTGTAAGAATTCCTGAGGAACACAAGTTTTCATCCGTTTAATTACTGCAATGTTTGTATTAACTTTTTAAAATTAATAATCATTTCAATATGATGTTCCCAGTTTAGTTTTTCGTCTAAGGTGACACCGAGGCATTTGTAGCAATTTGCCGTTGGGACAGAAACATTGTTAATTAGGATGGGTATTCCTGGTGGTATATTCTTAATTTTATAAGGGGATGCAATAAACATACATTTAATATATTCTTAGTATGAATGGACCATTTGCATTATAGACTAAATTTTGATCTAGACAAAAATTTCATCACACTGCTTGAAACAGCATCACAAAATTAGTAATATTCCAAAGTTTCGTTGCGAAATGTTGTAAAATGCGGATAATATAGCCTTGCGAAGTTTGCCGTTTTTCAGTCATTTTGTATTACGCACGGGAAATTGACAGCCCAATCGGGTGTTGGGGCATCAGTTTCCCGTTTGTAATAGCTACAAAATAACTGAAAATTGAAAATTTCGCAAGGCTATATTATCCGCATTTTACAACATTTCGCAACGAAACTTTGGAATATTACTAATTTTGTGAAGCTCTTTCAAGCTGTGATGAAATATTTGTCTAGATCAAAATTTAGTCTATAATGCAAATAGTCCATTTTGTAGCTTATTATTCTCCATCCATTGCGTAACAATATTTAAGTCATAATTTATGTTGTCAATAAGATCATTTGCACATGTGATAACGCGTAAATTTCCGTGTCATCAACAAACACACCTGCCGTGGTATTTTGGAGACATTGTGGTAGGTCACTGATGTAAAGCAAAAATAATTTGGTAATATTTAAGCGAATTCATCAATCGATCAAGCAAGGCCAATTGATATTGTTAATGTCAAAACGACAACTTTTTCCTTTTAATAAATGTCAAGGTTTAAATAATCTCCTTCAATGATTACTGACCATGGTCCTTGATCTTCAAACAACGGAGACATACAGTATTAACCAGGCTTTATGCGTCAACCGCAATGTTTAAAGAATGTTTACAGCTGCAAATTCCTCAAATGCAATTGGATATATAGGACGCTGTATTCCTATTAACATTGTGAAGGTTTTAATCAATTTCTCCTTCAGTGCATGATTGCTGACTATGCATGGTCCTTTAATTTTCAACCATCGGAGACATATTGACCCTGCTTTATGCGTCAACCACAATGTTTAAAGATTGTTGACTGCAGAATGTTTGTTGAGCGAATTCCTCACCTGCAATTGGATATATAGGACGCTCTATTCCTATTAACAAACGTCATGGTTTAAATCACTTTCTCCTTCAATGACTACCGCCTTGCATGGCCCTTAATTTTCAACTATAAGAGACATATTAACCAGGCTCAACTGGGAAGTTTTTAGAGAATGCTGACAGCAGAATGTTTGTTGAGCAAATTCCTCACCTGCATGCAGTTGGATATATAGGACGCTGTATCTGTTGAGAGTTGGGACACTCGTGTTCGAAGGCGGAATAGGCACAAGCAACTTGAGAAACAACCATCATTTCAGGTAAGCTCATCGTTAGTGAATATTAGTGTCTGTTTCTGATTAATTAGGTTTACTATAAGTGAATCCATCGAAGCTGAATTGAACAGCATAGTTGAGGAAGAGGAGTGACGCATGCATATAAGAAACCGTCTTTTGATTGTGTATGGAAAAGTTGAGTTACCATAAGATTAATTTCCTACAAAAACAGCAATACTTTGGAAATGGCTTTTTTCAGTTATGCAGGAAAGAATCTTAAGCTTTTAAATAATATAGACTAAACTATATTAATTAAATGAAGTCAGGGAAACAGAAATGCTGTCTTCTGCTAATATATTTGGCATTGCATGCATGCATGTGTACAAAAAGGAAACTTACGGGTGATCAGAGCTAGAGAAAACTGCATGGGCTCACCTATATTATCCCATGCATATAGATAGGCTATATACTTCATATATGTTTCACTGTACGAGCATGTAATAACGCATCATTGATCATTCATATTGGCTTTAGTTGCAGGAAAAGGTTTTTTGAGTTAACGACAAGTACAGCTAAATTTATCCTTGTTTTTATCCATATTACAGAGCTAATAAATACAGTAGCGTCTTTATTTACTGGTGAATGGGCCTATAAACTGACTGCTCCTTAGACAAAATGTTATTAGGTATTAGTGAAACTATGGTGCAACAATTTTCCAAATATTTCTCTTGTTAATGACTTGCGAAAAAGATAATCGTGCCAATATTTACAGTCGTGGACACGCCCAAACTGTTTATGCCGTTTGTTTCGATAGTCGAACTTCGTGAGTAGCAAGGGACAATAACGTATTTAGGTTTAGTAAATTAGTGTACATATATTGGCATGGTACGTTTGGTTTTACCAAATGCCTTAATTTTCTCATTTTATCGCCGGCCACTTTGATAACATCCCTTGATAATGCGATATCTAAATCACTTTAATTGTACTATAAAACGTGACGAGGGCTTTCAATTGATAATTTTATATAAGGTGCTCACAAGAAACGTAAAAAGGCAGCTGCTGAAGTATAAAGAGTAAAAGTACATATATGTATAATAGTGTTATTATACAGTGATTGACTACCTATTATAATTTGGGTTGCATTGTTGACCAGTCACGCTTTTATATAATTTAATATACATATAGAATGAGACATATATATCACGTGCTTCTGTTTTACCATACATCACGTGCATGTGTGTTATCCCCATTACACTGCAAATATAGTGACTGTATCCATACTATGGAATATCGGCAATTGCATCACTAGTAATGCAATCTTAGCAAATACTCTACATTTCTGAAGTATATAATTCATACTATTTCCATAATATATCCAAATATAGTATGCATGGAAATTGCAATTATATATGTCACTTGGAATGTAACTGAATACAGATACAGTTTTGCATACCAGTTTTTGAATACAGTTTTCTTTCCACAGAAAGATGTTTAATTGCTTGTTATCACCAACCACCCTAGTTCTGGCAGGTAAGCACTCATTATCCATACACCAGACTATGTTAGATGGTTAAATAACCAGTAGGAAGATGGTTAAAATAGTCACAAAAATTTACCCCAGGAATGTCAAGTTAACGCAAGTAGGGTTTTCAGTTTCTAGGTTATAACATGCAGGAACACTTTAACTGGGATTTTATTGTTATATTAAATTTAGTATATTGCAACTATACAGTGTATGGCCTTTAAATAAAAGCCTTATAGTTTGTATGAGCGAGCTTGATAAAGTTACAACATTTTACCACTGCGCTGCAGGATAAGGAAAGGGGCGCATAAGTTGTAGAATGACCACCACGAAATTAAAAATTTCGCCGCAAAATTTGTGGCAATTTTATGAGGTATCAAAAGAACCAGCCAATTTGGTATGCTAATAGTCCTATACTGTCATCATTGGTAGCCTTTCATGCATAATTTATCACGCACAGAACTGATTTTATATGCATCATTGATTTTATGTGTGATTGATTCTTTTATCTCCTCAAAAAGTTAGAAAATTGTGTGTGAAAGAAGTGGCACCAAATTCCAATTTTGAGAGATTGCGCGTTGGGTTTAATTCATGTAAATCATTAGTTCATAAAATATCTTCAATAATTTATTTGATTCATACTGCGTTTCAAACCTACCATTGCTGTGCGCATGCATGCAAGCTACTTTTAAAATTGTTAAAGTAAAGGTATGCTGCACTTCGAAATTTACTTTTTGCAATTTACTTTGCATGCCCATACTAATACAAATAAAGTTGTCAAACATTTGGCTGAATTTTCAGTTCAGTGAACATTTTGGAATTGCATTGTTTTGATACAACCGGTAGTTGATCAAGTTGATAGGCTTGCTACATGACTGTTGCGAAGACATTATGTAAGTTTCAGATGTGTGCATATTTTTCCTATTATCAATATTATATTATAATGTGCAGTCAAATATGTTATAATAAAACACATAGGCCTATACAGCGTTTGCTGTATTATCTCAAGACAAAATTGGAAAACTGAATCTAAGACAATAAAGCTTCATATAGCTTTTAAGTCCATTCTGTCCCTTCGTAATAAGATATTACCCAAAATGTTGTTTTCCAGTAATTTCAACCAATTTATTCATATGGCTGTTAAAATGGTCTATAAAATCATGAAAGCACATTGCTTGCCAAAAAACGCGTTTATCGCTTTGACGTGAATCACAATCATCAATTGGATCTATTCACTGTTGGTGCTAGATTTAATCCTTCGAAAATATAATAATAGTTATTAATATTATCATTGATAATGTTTAACGTTCGATCGAAATTGCAAAAATGTTGTATAGTAGATATCTCGAGTTTTAGCTTATTAACGTCGAGTTACACTATGTACGTTAATAAACATCTAAATCATTTAAGATGGAACTTAATTGCAATATTCTTCTGGTTGGACTTTGGCGCAATGAATATACAGCACAGTTTTTGTCCGGAACAGAGGAAAATGTAATTACTCTTCGATTCTCTTAAATAGTCATTCTTTCAAGGAATTGTTGTTGGGATATCTTGATTTAATTATTGAACAAATAATTAAATCATCAAACAAATCAAACAAAAAATTATAATAAACATTTCGGAACATCAGTTGCACTAGCTGTGAAGCGCTATTATTCGAACACTGAAGAGATATATCCATTATTAAAGATGTGTATTCTTGCACTGTCAGGTCTATTGGTGAGCTTGAGCAATGCTGATACATTTTTACACAGTCCCAGAGGTTCTAACAATCGCTTGAATGGAGCAGGCGTTAACAGAGGAAACAATAATCGAATGTACAATTCTCAGGTGAGCTTCGATCAAACTTCAAATTATTTGCATTCCCTCCATTCGTATAATCATAAACATTTGAAAAATGCAGCAAATTTAATTCTGGAATCCTAACAGCTAATCACGATATCTGCTTGATGTGGATATCGGTTAGGATTAATTAGATACGATTAATACGCAAGGCCTATCTTTTAGTGAGGAAGGAAAATTGTAGTACCTGGAGAAAAACTCTCGACATACAGACGAGAACCAGCGAAACTATACTTGCTGTAAATGACTTGATTCTTTCAAGTACAGGGTCACCAAACTTAATTAGCAAAACGGCGTGCCTTTGACTGCGATTGCACGCTTAACTTAGACGTATATACTATAAGAGGCACCTGTCTAACCGCAACAGCCACCCATGCAGGCTTCCGTGTTTTTTGCAAGCAACTAGGCTACATATATACACATGATCAAGACTACATTTTCATATATTTCTAGAACAACGCTAAGGGTGGTTACAATGTAGGTGACAAAGACCAAAAATCAAACAGCGAGGAGACACAATTTAACATGGTACGTATAAGAGCTGCAAGGCTGCTGTAAGACCATAAATTGTAATTTTTATATAAGGCTGAATTTTTATCATATTTGTTTTTTCATCAATTTTTATCGACACGAAAGATAAAAAATCCTGCAAAATGCAAAATGTTTTAAAAATGCAAAATGCAAAATGTTTTAAAAGTACAGTAGCTATAATGTATAACCTAAGTAGCAAGTTAAATTTTCCTCAATATTTTGATCCATATCAGTAGTAAACAGAATTCTGTTGATGTAATATGAATACCAATATACCCTTCGTCATTTTAATCATACATAGGTTAGCAAGTTAGGAAAAGATTATCCTTGCAGCGTTATTGAGTTTTGTATGAGTATAACAATATAGTTCAAGACAGCTGACTGTTATGTTCCTTATTCTTTACTATATAATATCCCTGGGAATATAAAATTTCCACGAAGCAGGTATTCCCACAAAGCTTGCCAGAACTAAACTGGCCGATTGTTGATTACAAATTGATTCAAACAAATAATGATGTGGCTTGATGAATTTAACCTCATATTTACAGAATATCGCGGAAATTAGTGGCTGCAGTCAATGCAGTTATTTGACTACTGGTTTCCAAAATCCCATTCCAAACCAAATTCCAAATTCTTATCAGTCGAACTCCCATTTCGTGGTTAACGAAAGACATATTCCAGCTCCTATTTTAACCATTCGCAACACTCTGTGCATTTGAACATTTACAAAGCATCCTAAAGTTATGAAATATTTTCAGAACTATTTCCAAAGTAGCAAAGGCTATGCAAGTTCTGCAGGTCTTCAAGGAAAATCTCTGCTTACAATCGAGTGGACCAATCAACATGGCTGTAATGATCGAGATTTAAACTGTAACTTTGTTCTTCAATATCGATGTCAAGATGACGCAAACAATCAGAAATTGAATCAACACTCAATGAGGAATGGTAAGAAAAATTATACTCTACCGTAAACAGGGTACCAAAAATTAACGACATTGGGGGTGACTGGAAAGATCTATGCAATGGAATTGCAATCATATAATAAATCAAAAGTAAATATTTATTACATTCAGTTAAAACATTAATTATTGACCAAAGCTTGCTGTAATCAACCAATGCTCAAGACCGTGAGATTATTCAACGTCTCTAATATGCCCCTCTTACTCTATAAGTTCTCGCCAGTTTTTTCCTGTTTAAATTTCTAACCTGAGGGGTAAAGTTACAGGATGGTAATAACAACAACTATATATAAGTTAAGTTTAGCAAGGCGGAGAAATATTATCAGCAATATGAGAGAGTGGGCAGGTGAATCATTTTTTTTGTTTCTCACTGCTGAGTTTAAGCTTTAAGTATATTATTCAATTGTTCAAACACTCATTAATAATTCATAAGCTTATTGGCAAATCATGTCAACTATAATATGTCACGTGCAGTGGCTTTAAACCTGATAAAACACTCCTAATTAGTATTCTTTATATAAAGAATACTAATAAGGCAGTATCTATTGTTGTCGTGTCCTCATTAGTATTTTTTTATATAAAGAATACTAATAAGGCGGTATATCTATTGAATTTGTATAGTCGTGTTTGAAGCCGTTTAATAAACTCGCAAGTCGTGTTTTATTAGGTCTAAAGCCACTCGCGCTGCGCGCTCGTGTCTTTAAACCTAATAAAACACTCCTGTTCGTTTATTAAACAGTACATAAACCATTTAATAAATAATGATTTCTTTCGAGGAGTTCATAATATATACTGAATAATTGTCAAGGACATGCACGTAGCAGTCAAATCTGGTTAGTGAATAACAAACGCGCAAACATACACGAGTAAGTATGATCTTCTGCCTGAGGTTATAACGTCGTACTTTAATGCCTGAAAAATAGAAGTAAACATTTGGCTATAACCTTCTTAACAAAAACTCTTTTCCAATAGGGTGTACATTATGTAACGTTTTGACTGCCTTTGACACCCCTCCCCCCGTCCAAAGGTTATTTTGTGGGGATTTCAATGGTGGTTTTCGTTTAAAAGGGGGGTATAAATACTCACCGAGGTATTTACATTAGAAACATTGAATCGTAATGTAATGCGAAGCCAGTTGTCGGAAGGGAATAAATTAACAAATAAAGGATTGTGTTTAAATGCGTTTTAATCATAGGCAGCCCAATGTTATGGTTGCCTGCCTGCGCGCGGGCGAGGCATTGTATAGTTGTATTATTTCCTAAGGTAGGCAAATGCAATCAAACTAACGATACATCTACCTTCAAACAATCCAAAATACTTCAAATATCTTTACAACTACGCTAAAATAATCACGGAAATAAAATCTACGATACTTTTACTATATACTAACAATATTTTAACGTACAAAACAAATTTGTAATGCGAGAAAAATACGAAAAGTTTTTGCATTTTTTTTCAGTTTTTGAATGAGACGATGCTGGATTCGCGCTCGACGTTTTTGATAGCGTTTCAAATGACGAATTTCCAATCTCATTGGCTGTCATCTTTACGGTTTTAAAACGTCGAAATGACAGCCAATGAGATTGGAAATTCGTCATTTGAAACGCTATCAAAAACGTAGAGCGCGAATCCAGCATCGTCTCATTCATAAACTGAAAAAAAATGCAAAAACTTTTCGTATTTTTCTCGCATTACAAATTTGTTTTGTACGTTAAAATATTGTTAGTATATAGTAAAAGTATCGTAGATTTTATTTCCGTGATTATTTTAGCGTAGTTGTAAAGATATTTGAAGTATTTTGGATTGTTTGAAGGTATATGTATCGTTAGTTTGATTGCATTTGCCTACCTTAGGAAATAATACAACTGTACAATGCCTCGCCCGCGCGCAGGCAGGCAACCATAACATTGGGCTGCCTATGTTTTAATTCGGGATTTAAATTAATACAAAGTATTTCATTTCTCCAAGGACGCGTAACCAATACTCCACAATATACGAAAATTACGTACACTACACGCTCAAGTAAGAACACTTACTTGAATTATGATTCAGCCGGTTATGCTCGAGGTCTTCATGAATCCTGGGAGTGGTATGATAAATGCGTCAAAAGAAGTCGTAATCAAGGTGAGTTCCATGTTTGCGAAAACAAACAGGCTAAAAATAGCCCAATATGAGTTCTAAAACTAAAATAAAGCCAAAGTAAGAATAATATACAGCATATAGGCGTGGGAAAATTTCAATTATGCAAATTTATCTCTTGGTTTGTGAAAATACTATAAACAGTACCTTTTAATTATATAGAATATTAGCAGAGTTTTGTATAGTATGCCAAGGAACTGCTTTTTCGATAATAATCTATAAACCTGTGGCTGCCTTAAACGTGTTTATCTTTCAGTTGGTGTCATGCTTCCTGGCCATCAGCAAACATTTTTATTATTGACATCTCTTAATTCTGAAGTTGAAAACATATATTCTTACCCGCTTTTTAATTAGTTAATTTAAATACAGTGTAAATTTTTACTGCCAGCCAAAGCTCATTGAGAAAGTTTTTTAACCACAGCAATTATGCTTCTTTCGTTTTCTTATTTTTGGTTTGGTTTGGTTTGGTTTTTGGTTTTTTTGTTTTGAAACTCGGCAGTCTTGTACTAGTTGTAGGACAATATAAGTACCACATTGCCCACGGATAATACATACATACATACATACATACACTTTATTTCAACACGGAAGAATCATCAGTACAAGAATAAAATACACAAATTTATTATGTACAATGTTAGTCAAAAGATAAAAATAATAATTACTGTTTTACATGATTGCCGTGCAAGAGTCCATATACTCAGTATACTATAGGAAGTTAGTCAATTCGACTTTGAATGAATTTAGAGAAGGGGCTGATCTGAGCTGTTCTGACAAGCTGTTCCACAGGGAAGCACCACTGTAGCTGAAAGAACGTTTTTAATAGTCTGTTTGGGGTTTTGGAACAGACAATTTATTTAGAGAATTTCTCAGATCACGGCTGCAAGTATTGAGGAGCACAATTATTATTAACTTTGTACATTAGGATAGCTTTTTGCTTCATGCGATTTTTTGCCAAAACACTCCATCCCAACTCAGAAAGTAGGGATGCTGACGAAACCTCATACGAGGACTTGGTCATTACCCTAGCCGTACGATTTTGCAGCTTTTGTAGTTTCTCACCCAGTTTTAAACCAATACCATCCCACACTGGAGAGCAATAAGTAAAATAGGGCTCGACCAGGCCCCTGTATGCCTTCACAGCCGTTTCTCTATTGATGAAAGGTAATTACTCGATTAGGCAATGAAATTACTCGATTAGTCAAAGCAATTTCTTTCCACATAATAAACAAAACTTGCTCACCTCAACCGTTCGGCCTTTATGGGAAAATATTAAACATCAGCCATACTGTATTGATCATGCTGTATTGACCTGTATTGAACTAAGTTGTTAATATGACGCTAGCCTTTAGCCACATCTCCCGCAAATATACGTCCACAACTTGTTAGCCTACTATGACATCATACGTCCAGTATATAAGAAGCTGAGTTGCGTCTGTTGATCATCCCTAGCAGGGCCGGATTACTTCTGCCGTCTTTCACAAAATTCAGCAATCTTTTAGTATTTAATGTGATTTTTTTGGCCTCGCTCTATGGAGCCCCTTGCCCAAAGAAGGAACAAAAAAAAATGTTTGCGACCCTGCTTTTGGAGCCTCGCTTTTCAAAACTTGGTGCCTCGTGCTTCTCTATTTGGAGGCTTCGCTTTTAGGGGCCTTGGACTCTTTGGGGCCCCGCGCTGTTTGGATCCTGCGCTGAAACAGGAAACAAAAGACCCGTTTCAATCCCGGCTATTGGAGACCTCGATTTTTAAATTTTGGAGCCTGACGTTTTCTGATGACCTTGGGCTGTTTGGGGCCCCGCGCTGAAACAGGGACAAAAAAACGTTTGGGTCCAGCTTGATGGGGCCCTCGCGTTTTCTGGGGGATTTGGGCTCTTTAGGGCCCCGCACTGGCGCACTGTTTGGGTCTCCAACTGAAAGATGGAACAAAAAAATTCAGAAAAAAATAGGAGAGAGTAAGCGCGGGGCCCCCAAAAGCGCGGGGCCCGTGGCATATGCCGCTTCTGCCATATGGTTAATCCGGCACTGATCCCTAGCCTGAAAACAGACCTACGTTTCGCCCGCCCTAAAATGCGCGGGTGCACGGAAAGGGCGAAACGTAGGTATGATGAAAATGTTGTCAAAATCGCCTTCCGCCCACTTTGTATTTTGCAATAATTAACGATGATAATTGACACATTTATATGTAACACCTAAAAATGCAATTTAAGTTGTCGATTCTCTTTATTGAAAGTTTGTAAACAAAGTAATAGTTGATAAGTATATATAGAGATGTTTGAATAAATATTAAAAATATTGGTAACCCCATGCTGTTGCTTTTATGTACTCTTGACTCTCTAAGCAAACAATTACAGCTAGTAATAATACAACATTTTCAAAACATTCTATACATGCAATAAAATCTGCCTACGCAAATTTGGCAATGGGCATGTCCAATTGTTGAATTGCACCCAAACAGTTACAATTTATGCATTTTGAAACCGCCATACAATGCTAAAATGTGCATCAAATATTTTGTACGTGCTATGTTATCAAAATGTATATAATAAACGCACTATTGCGCTGACACATATTTGTATCATTTATTATGATTATAACAAAATGTAGATAGTGTGAAAATTATTGTATTGTATATTACAACGGAAAGACACAACGCTGAAGTATTTGACACGTACTGCTCTACTTCCCTGCAGTTTTAATTTTAGATGGTAGATACTGTTAGACTAGTTGCCGTTCGGCTTCACAATATATTTAGAATATTACACTATGGGCATATTATATGCGTTGATAATAGCGTTGAAATATATTCTGATTTTTCAAATCTTTTCATGTTAGCGACCAATCAATCACAACCCATTTCCCTGTGGATTAGCCAATCAGCTATTGCGACCACCAGGCGGTCGGATTCCACAGCATTTTGACATGATTTTCCTCAGACCTTCTTTTTGCCTTTTGCTAGCCCTCCCGTAAGCATCCCACCCGCAAATTTTAGGGCGAGCAAAACGAAGGTCTGTGTTCAGGCTGGATCATCCGTGATGAAGACACAAGAGCAGAGTTACCAATTTCTTGGTTAATTTAATTCCACTAGTTGATGAGCCCACACAAGCGGAACAACTAATGATGCATCACAATTTTATTTAGATTGTTCTTTCTCTTAATTTACAGGACTATTCACAGCTGATCAGAAACTGAACGGTCAGACAAGTATTTACACTCGTCAAAATGCAAATGGTGCTCGCAGTGGTTATGAATGTCCCGAGGAACGAGATTACTATCCTTACTGGCATCCTACAGACTGGACTGATATAGCGGTGTTTGCTTATAATGAAAGCATGTGTAAATATTATCAGAAAGAGAGTTTCAATGTAAAAAATAAAGGTTAGCCTTGTAAAACAGTTATGAACTGACGTAATTTCCCAATATAGCTAAAGTTATTCTAATTAAGTTTACATTGATCAACGGATTAGATTTTTCTTCGCATCACTGTGGTATGACTATATCATCATAATATTATGTTATGGCTGTTACGGCCACTATAGGATTGCAACATCCACTCCAAAAACGTTTCAATTTCAGTTTTTTTTTACTAATTCTAGCATTTAACATTTGTACTGAGATGTTTGTTGTTTCTGTTTTGAACTACAATAATATAGTAGTGTATTTCACATCAATCGGCATGGGATTTCTATTAAGAGCACTGATTATTTATATTACTTCTACTAAAATCTGCTCTACGTAAAAGAAAAAATGCGATAATGAATAATTATGTTAATTAACACGGTTTACTGATATTTCAAGCGAGGTTTTGATATTTTCTGAACATTCTTAAAATAGTTTTTATCTCTTTGTCGCAGGGGAGTGCCTTCAATATTACCCATCGAAAGCCAACGGTTTCCGCCATGACTCGGTGTATAACAACGAAATTGACTGCAAAAAAAATAAAGGGTTCTGGGTTTCATTCAGCAACTATTTAGAAGAATACCCCAAGTATCAAACAGAAGCAAAATGTAAAGCTGGAAGTTCTGGCCAACTACCTCTGAAATGGGACATTCCTTACCGCTCTGAAGATATTGATAATTTAAAAATGACTGGTGATAATGTGGAATCATTAAAGCGTTGTTTGGTCGCTCTTGATACGCCAGAATGCACCAAAGCTCCATATACAAGATCAAACCATTTAGGAAATGTCGAAGGTGTCGTTCCTTTCCGTTACACTTGGGCTCTTCCACATTTTCCATCTGGTCGTGTACAAAGATGCGTTCTGAGATTGAGGTTAGTTATAAAGTTGTAATAATTTTTCTACTCCTAATTTATAGTGTATTTATTTAATGACTTAGCTTTTACAAGCAGGAATTTTGGGGAACGATGCGTAAAGCTTACGTAACATTTTTACTACAAGAAAATGCGTTTAGACCGTTAAGTTCTTGTCTGTCTAATCTTGCCTGTCTTTCTGAGGATCTGTGTAATCTGGCGATATTATATACTTTAAAGGTAAATCGCCATTCCGAATTAGTATCCTCGCCCTGGGCTTACGCCCGGAAGGCGCTCTGCGCCGTTGATTCGGGGAGAAAATTCCACTTCTTGTCAAATTTTTCTGAAAAGCGTATACCTGTTCCAGTAATCTTCCACATCACACATCACTCAGCGCGGCATGTATGAGCGTGCTTTACGCAAGCCCACTATGTAAGCGTACTAGTGGTGGCACACAATTCAATCTTTGTTTTAAATTATAATAGGAATGAGCATTTTATGTATCATGTTCTTAAAATTATGCATATAGCCTAATTTAAACAAAAATTAAATAATTTACTAGCTTTCAGTAGCAATCTTACTGCAGCAGCATTTCAGTAGCTATAGTGATCCCAGGTCCATTATATATTATGCTATGATGTTAAAAGATCTATTTTCTCCTCTTTCCGTTGGTTAGGTACAACATTTCCACTGGAGATTATCCACCATTTGACACATTTAGTGATGAAAATGACAATCCGTAAGTATTCATATGTCTTACAATCGTGACCATGAACCTTTCAACAATTAATTATCTGTTGCTTTTCGAACATCGATGCTTGTTGGCTTAACCTTTGAAGGTTAAAATTATTTCAGCCAACTCATTTTGGCATAATAAAAGGGAAAAGAAATTCATATATAGTGATAGAATTATAGTTGAGCGTGTATACAGAGCGAAGCATTGTACTTAGACGAGACTGATGTTTTCCGAGGGTGGAGGCAGTTGAAAGTTTTTCCGAATTTTTATGGAGAATTGTAATGAAATAACCGGATTTTAACATATCTTCTGATAAATCTGCCCGAATTTTCGTGATTTTTCCTAGCATTTGCCCGAATTTCTATGGTTTTTCAAAATTTGGGGTGCGGGCAGTTACCCCCCCCCCCTCTCTGCCCCCTGTCTTGTACGCCTATGCAAAACCACCAGACTAAAAACTATTGTACTAAACTACTAAATTTTTGTATTTCATAAGGAATGCGGGTGTAAATTCTCCAGTCAAAAACAATCCAAAAGTGAAAGTCAGTGCTGCTCAGCTGCCATTACAACTTGCCATCAACACCGCTCAATTTGGACGTACTTTCCAAGATCGATCTCATTTATTCAAGCTCGTACCCAGGCCTAAAAAGGTGACCAATAATGACGTCATTTATAATCTAAACGTGCGAGGAAAGCGCGGGAATATCGTGCAAGCTTTTCCAGCTGTAGAATACGACTTTATCCCGAAACGAATGACTATTTCTAGCGCAAGTCTTGTGCATATCCAGTGGACTGGTAAGTTTTGGTAATTACATTAAATAAGATATAAGATGATGGAGTCGCCTTTTCATGCTGGAAATCGTGAAAACGGTTGTCACCATATTTTTCATACATTGTGTTATAACTGAGCCGGGATGTAGGCAGCTGATGTGGCTGCCACTGAAATAACTAATTTTGTACATCTTGTCAAGTTTAAAGTATAAAGTATAAATTGAGCAAGAAATGCATCAAAAACTGCATCGTGTACCCCTTTTTACTCCATTATTTAGCATAATAAAAACAGTGAATATGTTCATAAAAGTTAAAATCACCATCTCTTTCTTTCAAAGGATCAAACACCAACCCTAGTGGCAATGCCGGACAAGGAACTGCAGGTGTGTTTAGTTATATGTAAACAATATGAAAAATTATACATGTAAATTACCAAAAATCAACATAGTTTTTCTAGGTTTTAAATGCGTTATTCCAATAAATGCTTAATGAAGGCGCCTTAATCTAACTTTGCGCAAATACATTCTTCGAGTGCCGATTTTTATTGAATCTTCGCACATGTCGATATTGGATAATTTCAGTCAATTGTCTAACAGGATTAACAAATGAAATTGTTATTCGGTATTAATGCTATTTTCCATTAGTTACACGGAAAAGTATAAATAAATATTTTCAAATTTTATATCTTACTATATCTTAGAGAATAGGTACGAATTACCTCACCAAATACTCTTTACCGCAACACAATGACTACATATTAACAACAAGCGTATAAACTATCGTGTAAACACAGCAAGTTGATTCGAAATAAATACCCATGGATATCCGCAAAATGTTCGCAGTTAAGAGAAAGCCTTCCATCATCAAAATTGATTAAAAAGATTTCGATTATCTTTATCATTCGAAGTCCCACTTGCTGAAAGTTTTGATATTTGCCTTGCGTTGGGAGAAAATGGGATCTCATCAGGAAGAAAAAAACTTGATGAACTTTTATAATATGAAATAATATTTTCATCATTAGGCTTAATGGAGTTATTGAGAAGCTGGAAAGTTGCGAGAGCACTCAAGCGTTAGAGTTGGTCTTGGGGGAGGGACTTGTCTTTTCGTGCTCTCCCAACTTTCAGTGTACAGTCGAACCTCTATTAAGCGGCCACCCTCGGGGATCTGCTTTGTGGCCGCTTAATAAAGGAGGCCCCTAAATAGAGGTACGCAAATAATATACCTTGGGCGTAGTCAATGCTTTTGAGGTGTAAAGCTTTTGAGGTGTAAAGTGGCATGTGTTAAAACATATTTTTTAAGCCTTATTTTACAAATAAAGCAAATTAGGTCGACTTTTATTATCGGCCCTCTTGACAAGGTGTTGCGCCAAGTAAATCCTGGAGGCTGGCCGCTTAATAGAGGTAAACATTGACATAGAACATGATTTGGGACCGCTCTTTGGTGGCCGCGGCCGTATAATAGAGGTGGCCGTTTAATAGAGGGATAGTTTATAGTATTTGTATTACAAAAATTTCGGGACTTTGATATGTGACCGTTTAATAGAGGGTGGTCGCTTAATGGAGGGCCGCTAAATAGAGGTTCAACTGTATTTAAAACGCGATATATTGAGCACGGAAGTCGATCTCAAAAAATCTTAATAAAGGGTATTGGAAATAAAAATTTTTATTGCTTTATCTGAGAGAACATGAAAAAATAAGCCGATTGGCTGTTTACTGCTCTATTCTATTTCATCTGGTTCCGAAGTTATACGCAAAAATGTGCAACATGTCAATTGCTGATTCAGCACAACGTGTGACGTCATTAGTTGGGTAAGTATGTTTATTGAATAGTAAACTGAAGCATAGCTCAGTTATTAATGGCTCAATCAAATGAAATTTTGCGTACAGATAGCACATGATGAGACGCATGGGAAAATACTTCTAATTTTGTTGTCAAGGCAACACAGTCGTTCCCAGGCCCCTTACACTGATTTTGAATAACTAGTTGCATTTATCTATGGGTATGTCATTTCCGAATTATTATCATGCAAGTAAACTTTTGGCATCCATAGGTATGGTACACATACTTCTGATAATATTTTGTTCTTATAAGTACCATGAATAAAGCTGTTTTATAAAATGGGCGCAAGGGCCCTGGGAACGACATTGTTACCTTGGCAATAAAATTAGAAGTGTTTTTCAATGCGTCTCACATGTACAATCAGTATCCAAAATTTCATTTGATTTGGGCACATAATAACTGAGCTATGCTTCAGTTTAATATTCATTAAACATACTTACCCAAGCAATGACCTCCACGTTGTGCTGAATCAGCAACTTATATTTTGCAAATTTTTGCGTATAACTTCGGAACTAGATGAGATAGAATAGAGCATTAAACGGCCAATCGGCTTATTTTTTCATGCTCTTTCAGATGAAGCAATAAATTTTTTTGTTGCTAATACCCTTTAACTTAACTCAGACCTTTTATTCATTTAATTATTTCATAAGAAACTTTTAAATGCATATAGATCTCAACTTTTTCGTGCGGGTACTCATTGAACATATGAAACTGAACATTTAACTGGAAAGCAAATTTTACTCGTTTTTCGTGAATAAACGTGAAAACAATTACTTATTGACTAACTGCAACTAAGTACTTTCAAGGCCCAGATTAATTCGGAAAAATTCAAAATTTTTATGGTGGGGGGAGGGGCGAGTTTCCTAAGGGGGGGGGGGCGATATTCCTAGGGTATTCGCCCCCCAGTAGGGGGGGGGGGCGATATCGAGTGACTTGAGACCGGTCTGAATTACTTTCGTCCCGGTCTTATGTAACATCTATTATAAATAATACTATGACCGGAACGAAATGGTCCCGACTTCCTTCCGGTGTCCCAGGAATTTCGCCCACCTTCAGTGTGGAAACAAACAATTACGCCAGTTTTTTCTGCAAACAGTTTTTCCTAGTAATATCGCCCTACCGGGGGGTGAAATTCCTAGGAAATTCGCCCCCTTTAAGAAATTTAGCCCCCTTTTAGACACTTCACCTTTGCTTTAGGATTTTCGTCCTCCGCTAAAAATTTCCTCCTTCCAAACAGTTGCATACGATAATTATTACATAGCTTTAGTAATTTGAAATCAGTATTCAGGGGCGTTGTGGGTCCCCTTTTTGGGGGGGGGCAAGGGCAGTATTTTTCCGACAAACTCAATTGGAAAAAATTTCCGGACACGAACATTTTAATTTATCTACCCCCCCCGTCGACAACTTTTTTGTAAAAAAAATTTCCGACAATTAATTGCTTTCGTAGCACTTTTTCCGAACTAGCACTCGGCCGGCGGCGGGCCTGTGTATATATGCAGGTATGCTTGACCACGAAGATTCCGACAACGTTTCCAATTTTCCGACGGGTCTTAACAATAGGGGGGCATGCCCCCTCCATCTGGCCCCCCGGTCACGGCGCCACTGTCAGTATCAATTCAAAATTGTTAAGAATACAAATTTACAATTACATTTATCGAAGGGCCTTACAGTAGACATTAGGACTTATGACGCTTCACAGCACAGCATGCATATTTTGCATTTTCGGTGCTCATCCTAATTCAAACTCATTAACATTGTTAGAAAGTAATCACCGTGGTGATTATTGTAATTATTGATATTGTCAAACTTTTATTAACTGACACATGCATAAACTATATGTTTTTTTATAAGACAACCGTTTAACTTCATTATAAAGAGCACTAAAAATTATCTACTTGTCTCTACCGATGCAGAATTCACAAACTTATTCATTGACATTGATTGAAAATAATTGAATTAGTTATGTAATTCTTATAATATAGATCTTTTTATGGCTTTTGTTCGCAATACTATATACCACCACATCAGCTATGGCTAAGCTATAAATTTACTATCGTGACAATCGTGTTTATAGAAGAAATACGTTTAGTTTCATTGTTATTACTAACAGTAGTCAGTGACATATTTGGCGAATTTTAACATCGTTGTCTTGGCCTCAGCGTGTTGTTATTTTCCTATGTTGTCAAAATTTATACGGGGGGGGGGGGCGAAATTCCTGAAGGAGGCGATATTCCTAGGATAGTCGCACCCCGGAGGGGATATTCCTAGGAATATCGCCTCCCTTTTGAGAGGGGGAGAATCTCCTGGGTGGGGGTGGGGGCGAAATTCCTGTGACACCGATCTTATGTAAACGGGGCCTAAATTTCCAATTTTTCTACGCAGGTACAGATCGTCACAACATGGTGGAGATGGCCGACCCATCTGTGAACTATCCTTTAACATCAGAAAAGCCATTAACAATGTTCACTAACGCTGAAATCGTTTGGACAAGTGATGAAGAAACGAAGACTAAACAAGATCTTATTTTGAGTATGGCTTCCTCTGGCTACTACAACAGCATGACGCTCTGTAAGGCTTCTCCACAGAAAACAGCGCTTAATGACGAGTTAAACAATGGTCCAGCATCGTATCGTGGCATGCTATTGAGGTTTGCACCAGGAGAATATTACTACATGTGTACAAGAAACAACAACTTCACAAACCGTAACCAGAAAGGAAGACTCGTGGTCAAAAAGGCGCCAGCAAGCGTGATCAGCAAGAAGTAACCACATTGGACATGTAGTTCTATAAAGAAATATTAGCTTGTCTCCGTCTATCTGACGTGCAACTCCAGGACCATATTTTTTATAATCCACATAGCAATCTAAATTGATTTCAACATGGTAATTCAACTTAGGTTGTGATGTTTAGAAACTACCCCTGAAACTGTACTGAGGTATACATTACTGCGCAAATGTGTAACTTTTCGGTTTTGCTTATAAATGTATGTAAATAGGATGCATCATTGGTATGATACTTGTCGTTCAATCGTTAAATACAAGATTGGTTGCATACACGCATGCATATATTACATATTACATATATTATTCAGCTCACTCCCCAACGGGGCATTTCATGAGTGACCGATTACATCAAGTATTACGTTTACTTGTATTATCTACTTAGCCTAGACTAATTATCCTTACAACAATTGTGACATTACTTTCCTAACTCAATCTCGTTCCCCGAGCCTGCGCTCCTCGGGAAGGAACGTGAGGCTCTGGGATAATCCGTTTCAGGGAGGAATCTGATTGGCCGTTGAAATGGAATGCGCAGTTCAATCTTAGCCAGGATTCCTGGCTTCCGGCAATGGATTATCCCAGAGCCTCACGTTCCTTCCCGAGGATCGCAGGCTCGGGGATTGTTCCTAACTATGTTTATCCTAACCCATCCTCTGTCAACTTTCGTCAAGGCTTTTATGCATATTTAATCTTTTGTCTAAATGTTTCACTTGGATGGTTAAATTCAATACCCCGGCAATGATGTCTGACTTCATTTATACAGTAAACTGAAATTTCCGGGGACGAATTACGAAATAGCTATTATTACAAATAGTTCTTTCTTGCAATAGATCTGAATCAGTTTAATTATAATTTATTGTCCTTTAGTAAGATGGATTTTATTTTAGTAAATTTGTATACGCACAATTAATTTTATATACAGTTGAGGTGTTCATGGAGAGGAAGAGACAAGCTGTAATTTTCTTAATAGAGCTTCAGACAACCTTGGTTCATATAATTATCAATTACTAGTTCTAAATACGCATGTTAGTTAGATATTTTGACTTGGACTATGATTTGGGATTGATTTTGGTGTAGAACATAACTGAATATATATATACATATATATCTGTCAATTGAATGATTAAAATTTGAATAAAAATTAGTTGGAGAACAATCATTAATGCACCAATGTCTTTTGTATAATTTTGGCGAGCTTTTCCACGATATAGTGACATTTGCTGAAAGTTAACGTTGATTTTCACATGCTTCTCATGCTTCGGAGAAATGAAGTTGATTTTTATGCAGGATCTCATTCTCACCTCAGGCCCCAGGGTACTTAACTTGCTCACTCAGAAATTCAAATTTTATCAGAAATTTTGTTACATGTCTGACTTTTACTAAGAGTATCTATTGCAATTGCATGTCTTCAAAAATTAAAAATGTGCATGCTTGTACAAACTTTTGTATTATAACAAGGACCAGTAATATAAAAAAAAATAATGATTATTTACGATACGCAAACTTGAATTGACGACATGTACAAGGTTGCAAAATAAATCATAGGATCGAATTATATCTAATTTTCCGAAATGACTACAAACGACTGTGAACAGAGCTATGTATTATTACTTACCATTGCATGTACTCAAATTTGTGCGATAAAATTTGAATGACTGACGATATACAGATAAAGTGAAACAAAAGAACTGCTCGCGCGTATCTTATAAATCTGCAATTCCAGTGAATGTTCATTATTAATTCAAAAGTGAGCATAAAATGTACTCTTTGAATACAGTAAGATATTTCCCAATTGCACTTGCTATTCAATCGGTTGCAATATCTCGGCCAAAAATGGCAAAAATGGTCCAAAAAGGTATCGTTTAAAAACCTCTTTGTTTCCCTTCTGTTCACTTTAAAAGTATATCATCTGATCATTTCGGTCAGCAGAAATATACCGGCGCATGTGTACTTTGTATTATGTTAGCTCGGACAGTAACTCCGGATCAATATATGGTGGAGAATTGTGTATTGTGCTAGCAATTCTAATTAACTAAAACAATATCGGACAAGATTTCGTGGCTGAAAAAGTTAAAAGTTGATTATTCATTGGAAATTTTAATATTGCTTGGAAATTTAGGGATTCAGTAGGGATAATAGGGAGCTTAAGCTTCGCGTAAAAAAATCCGGGAAAGCTGAATTTTCTTGGCACAATTTTCGTTCGATTTCTGCGTGTCATATTTCCTTTCATACGACACAGAAATAGTTAATTTTAAGCATTCTAGTTTCAAAACAATAAGCACATTTACCTTTTATTGCTTTATAGCGTAAAATTTCTCTTTGCCTGACATTTGTCGCTGAATGCGAAGCTTTTAAAAGCTCTCTAATGATGAATTTCGGCGAACCTAATGTCCCAGGTGTCATTGTCCGCAATTTGTCGCGATAAAATCATTGAACTTGCTTGCATATATAATTGACCTCTTCTAATGCGAGAATGCGGCAGCCAGTTCTTTTCTAGCTTCTCAATAGGTTTGTTTTGTTCCTTCCAGTTCCCGTTATATACTATAAGCTAAATCGGAAAATTCCGAGTATTTAACAATTATTCGCCGAAGGCGAGGTGATTATCGGGGAATATTCGCCGAGACGAAGTCGAGGTGAATATTCCCCGATAATTACCAAGCCTGAGGCGAATAATTATTTTAGTATATTTGCACAAGTTTTTTTGTGTTTTTCTGGTCTGAACTCATTTTAATTTCGCTTATTTCTTTATCACAAACTTCAACAAAACGGCTAGCCGCCATTTTGAAAATTTCGATTTTATTATATTCACCTGTAGGTGAATATAATTTCGATTTTATTATATTCACCTGTAGGTGAATATAACAGATTAATACGTCAAATCTGACCAATCACCTTGTAGGATTTGTTATGTTCACTTGTGCAAAAATACTAAAATATTATGTAGTCATTATCTTCTTAGGAATATTGAATTATTAGACAATAAGCAATAAACCGATGATTTTTTCGAAGATAACATTTATAGAGAAATTTGAATCCCGCCTCTTTCAAAGCAAAATTTCGAAAAAAACATTTTTATTGAAGAAATTTAAGATTAGTACTTCAGTCTATACTTTTTCAATTACTCCGTGCATCTATGAATTTTTTTCATAATTATAAATATCAGTCTTTTAGCTGTGCAATGACAAGTTTTCCCATCCAATATAGAGAACAAATGAGCAAATACGAGTCCGATAAAACTTGTTTTTCGAAAAGCAAAAAGTACTCAAAAATCGCCAGAGGTGGTGTAGCTTCTTTACCTTTCTTCCTACTCGCACGAAATTTGCCATGAATATAGAACATATCATTCTTCAAAATCGTGTCGTTTTTGTTTTGGGAATTGTTATTTTTTAGCCGGTAAATGACGTCATAATCTTCGCACCAAAAATTCAAAATTAACAATTGCTAATATCATGTATTTGTTTGGAAGGGCATGCTGTAGGAATCCTACAACTGAAGTTTGTTTCCAATTATGACCATTCGCTGCGCAAAAAATATAAATTTTGTCGTCGGTGTTAGGTGGAGGGAAGGGGGAATGTAACGACTACGTTTCATGTTACTTCTTTTTCGACGGTTGCAATATGCGTCGAGTTTCCCTTTAATTATATGCCTTTAATTATAAGTGTTTATTTGAAATATCCGATTTTACTAGTAGAATTGCCCTGCCCGACTGAAAATTTGTTGGAGGTGCAGCACGCCAACAGCCTCCCCCTTCTCGATCGTACACCTATGTCCAGAAGTATCCATACACAGTTGTTCGAAATATTAATGTAGTGCTATGAGAGCTACAAAGCAGCACTGGATAATTCGTTTCATCCTTTAACATTCACGAGTATAGAAATTAAGGAATTATGTGTCCGATATGATAACTGCTAGAAATACATGGATGCAATAACCCCTCGCCTATATTTTCCAAACATTGTTTCAACATGAAGTATTCGTAATTACGCCAACACTGAACGCAGGCTGGCGTTGCACGTCACGTCATTCATGGCAACACGATAATTGTTCTTTTAATTTTTTGTACAAACCTGCAAAAAATAGATAAAATTTGAACACCTTTAAATGCAGAACTATCAATTTCTAAAATATATAAAGTAGGTATATTATTTTGGTTTCTATGGGCTTTATTTTAATGTAAAATTCAAAACGAAACTCTACGTAAAAGGTTTTTAAATGTGAATTGAAATTAACTGCTTTTTGCCGATATTTGTAAACTCCTCAACTCGAGCTTCAACTTATTACTCGCACTTTGAAATGAAATAAATTTAATTCGTACAGGAAGCGAATGAAATAATTTGCTTTCTTTTTCGTCATGAACTTCTACAAAAGTTAAACCAAGAATCTTTCGCAACAATGCATAGGAATCACTTGACTGAACATCAAGAACAAAGTCTATATTAATGCAAAGTCATACATAAACAGTTAAAACAAACTTGTCCTATATTTTAGGATTCCTCATTCTATATCAATTCTTATAAATGTTTACGTTTAAAAATTGCAAAAAAAAATTACAATTTGTCATGTGAAACGATTTTGCAAGCTTTCTTACATGTATTTTATATATTTTTTGCCTTCTTCACCCCAAGCAAACAGCCATATTTTGAGATCAGTGAGATGACCACCCACCGTAACACGAACAGTGACCCACGCCCGCGATCATTCAATTTTATCAATTTTCAATTTTATTATTAGATATCCATCTTTGGCATATAGAAATACAATGGATTTACAAGTTAAAAATATTATACTAAGATACATATATAACCTATGAGAATGTAAAGCTTAGAAGGTTTAAAAAGTTTTATATACATATGTACAATGATCTAATTTCATGAGTTGGTTAATCTACACGCCCTTGGGATAAAAGACGTACTATGCCTGTGTGTTTTTGAGAGTTGTCTTGGAGTGCTGTCTCTGGTCCTTCTCAGTTCGTAAGTGTGATTCTT